AATGGCACCACAATATACAGGTAAGTACTTACGTTTTTTGTAGTAGGTACCTAGGTGCAATGTTGCTGTTTGGTCTGGACTACCTACTTCAAAAATAACGCCAGATCGCATTATCTACCTACCTTTTACAAATTAAATGTTGCACTAATTATTTTATAATTCTTTTTATACCCCTATTGTAAACAAGAATCTACAAATATCGAGAATTAATATTATACATATTTATATAATTCTCAATGTAGGTAAATCATTTAGGGGAGAAATACTATCCTCATAAATACGTAAAAGGAAACATGTCTAATCTAATCTAAATACTTATAAGTAGCTACGATATACATGTATATGTACTTACCTAGGTACTCATGCCTTCCAAATGGGTAGTGTAGAGCTTGAAAGAGGGCTAGAGGTGAAATGATTGAAAAAAGAGAAACTTATTTTCTACACATGTGAGCAGGTACCCACCATTACTCATCATTCGATGATATTATATTAACTTAGCCTAGTAACTATAACTCCCTAAATATGTAGGTTCAAAGTAGGTATTGGTACATTCTTTAAAAAAACATTTTGAATTGTTCGAAACTTTTTTCATTCCTAATTTTAAAGTCGATGATGTCGTTTTTACCTTGGGTCACTAAATTGATGCGTAGGCAGGCAGTCCACGTTTCTGAGAGAAAAAAGGTGTACGCGGAAATATTTGGAGGTCGTGAAGTGCGGGTTCCTGTGTCAAGTGTCACAGGCAGGCCAAGCGAAGAGGCGTCGAGGGCAGGAGGCACGACCAGCCATTGTCCGCGCTCGCACGACGAGACGAATCGCAACGCAGGCATCATGACCCATTAAACGCGGTCACGAAATCATTTTAGGTACCACTCTTTCACTGACACCAGCCACCGACTTCAACTGCCAAAAACCTTGCTTTGTTCCCACGAACTCTCACTTAGTAACTATTCTCGATTAATTTCGTTTAAAGATTTGAACAGATTTTTCCTGATGAAAAATTATCTAAGTTCAAGCATAGCACTGCGTTACCTAATTAACTCGTCGAGTACCGGTTTTATAGACACAATAAAAGAACAATAGGTCGCGGTCACCGGTGACCGCTTGGTGTTTGACAGTTTAAATAAATTCTAAACTATTTCAGTAGGAATTCGACATGTCTCTTATCCTCATTTTTTTAACGTTGCGCCACACTAAGTATTGTCTCCCGTGCCGTAGGTTACCCGTTAACAAATAAGTACCTATACAATTTTATTTAGCCAAAAGCTACATTAAGACCGGAAATAATAATTTGTGGATCACGCAAAGAGTTGTTCCGTGCAGGAATCGAACCCGCGACACGGTGCGCAGCAGCGGTTTACCTAGCTACCGCGCCAACGACGTAGTCAGTGGGTACCGGCACCTGCACCTATTATAAGTAAGTACTTATCTATGAAGTAGTCATTTGTATAAGAAGATATTAAAAAGGCCCACGTCATATTACACAAGGGTCATCAAAAAAATCGGCCCATTCTGTTTTTGTTTACTAATCCGCTAGTAGTTCACAGATAAATTGTTTCAAACAGTGGTTTGTTATTGCAAGGGTCGTAGAAGATGCTTGGCATTCAGTTTACCACAATTTTTAATTGACTCGAAGGTCCTTGACAATACTTTATTCAGAAATACTGCAAAGTAATAATTTGACGATTTACGTTACGACCTTGTTCGACGGACTTTTCTCGGGATTTCTTGGTAATATAGTTAAGTTTATTTACTGAGGTTTTAGTTTTGAGTACATAATTGAAGCAAAAAATAATGAATAGGTACTTCTGACGCTGAGGCAACCCTTTCGATTTACTGAAAGAAGGTTTGATGTACATGTTGACATGTAGTGGCTATAAGGTTGGATCTCTGTTGCTCTACTACTTGTCGAATAGAGTATCGATGGTCGTTAGAGACTATACAGTACTGAAAATGTCTTGGATCTGGAAGACTTAGCATAGGGTGGCAACACAAAGAGACAACAGACATTTTTAGGAAAAACAGCTTTACAAAATCCATGCCTCTCCTCTCTGATGTTGATCTTCAACTAGGTACGCTTACATAAAGGTCAGATCAGTCTATAGGTGATAGCACTGTTAGAAGAAGACTTGGTAAGCAGAGTTTAACACCCAGTGCGCCAGCTATACAGATATACTTTATGATGAATAATATATGTGATAAATTATCTATATTTTACACTTGAACGTCTACAAGCCAGACTTAAATTTTCTCAAAATCTCGTTAAATGAACGATAGGTCAATAGAAAATGGTCAATTCTCATCAGGGGTGAGAGTCGAATGACTTTGTACAATTTTGGTAGACGCAGTAATGTCATGCGACGCGATGTCCGGAAGAACGTTATCTGCTGTGTTGCATACGTGAATCAGTGAATTATTGTGGGTGCTCTGTAATGTTTTAAGTTTAATTTCTTTAACTAGATGCACAGAGTTAATTTTCAATAGAGATGCTTTGACTATAGCACGTTACCTGACAGAGTTTTGCCAGACCATGTTGTGCTTTAGACGGTTTTATTGGAAAACTTCAAGCTTTTGCATAAATGCACAACACGTGGCACGCATTATTATCATCCAGTACTTTGAAGAAGTCGGCATTCACACTATGCCGTGGTCAGCTCGTGATCTCGATTGCATCCTATAGAGCAGATTTCAGAAACCTAAAAACAATAGGTTTGGGCTCGATATCCAGCACAGCTACAAGTTTAGAAGATCTTAAAACCGCTATCAAGGAAGATTGTGATAAGGGTGCGTCCACATCTGGAGAATGCTCCGCGAATGTGCCGTTCGCAAGCCTTTTGCGGGCTGCTGCGGTAGCCCTTCAGGAAACAAAGGGTGTAATACTGTTTTTGACGAATGAATGCATTCGTCCAATGTCGCAACGTTTAGAAAAACGAAGCTTTTTTAAGAAGCGCAATGAAAACTGTGTGAGTCCATTCTGAAGGGCATTTCCTTGTCAGCCGTATCTTCTTGCAGATCATATGAAAGATAATAACACTGTACTCTCCCATTGCTCGAATAGTTTTGATTGTAATTTGATTTTACCTCTTATTTCAGAATACCTCCAGTAAATGTACTGGAGCCTCTACAGAGCTCTGTGAGTGTAAAATGTCGCGACTGATTATCTTCAAACAAGTAGGTACTGACAGTAGTTCCACTAGACCCGCGAAATTTGATCCAGTTCAGCGACTATATAGCCATTAAGATCTTCACTATCCAATGTTTTTGACGGCAATACTTTTGTAATAAGGCAGATTTTATGGGTCTGAATTACACGCACTTGTATTAGTTATATCATCATGAAACTTGGCAATTAAGTACATGTAGATTAAATGACCATAGAATATTATTGTATCATCCATAAAACCATAAAAGGTGGTTAATTAAACCTTCGGCTACCCGCAATAAGGAACATAATAAGAGTTTGAGGTCATTTAATAAATAATTACCTTAATCTATTTCTCCTCATAACGAGTACATGTCAGATTTTAAGGTAATATTAAGTCTTAAACAACCATCTTATATAATGCAAAATTAATTAAAGCTAAACAATGTCAGAAATAACAACAAATAACTTTTATTTCCTTGCACTTTATTCATATTGAAATAAAAAAAAACGTGATTTAAGTAACTAGTACAATATTTTTAGGACAATCATTTGAACATAAAACAAAAGTACCTAATTGTTACAATAACATACTTAGGTGTAATAACCACATGTTAATTTTATAGCAATACACCAACTCAAGTCGACTAAAAAAAGTAAGTATAGCTTGACCGATACTGCTATATACTTAGTACCCGACAGGTAACATGACATTGTCATGGTGCGGGTTGTGCGCATTGTGTAATATATCATTGTTTTATAGTCACTGCCTTGTGCGACCATATAATCTTATTAATGTTTCAACTCGAAAGAAAGTTAACGATAAGATACAATAAGGAAATTGTGTTGAAAGTTAAAATGAGAAATATTTATTAATAAGACAATACACAATGCGCGAATTTACCAAATCTTGCAGTTTCGTGGATTTGGGATTATACCGCGCAGTAGATTCACGCGCGGCGGGCGAGATAAGCATCAGTTATTACGCTCTGTATATCCGATTAGAATATCAATCTTATGCACTGATGCTCTTATTTTCTCGGCTCCATACAGTCTACAGCGGTATTGGTCAAACTATAACCAATTCTACATAGAAATTGCTCGTTATGCCAAAATTATTGAAAATTTAAAGTCTTATAATATATATTATGATTTTACTCGAAATTCTCCCAGAACAAGATTAGTAACTAGCAGAACAAAATTTCCGGAAGAATTTTCTTTGAATTTAATAATGATAATAGATTGTCTAATAAAATTTATAAGTTTATGCGAACTATGAATAAGTAACTGTACTTAATCCAAACCAAATCTATTATCGCTTAGCTGCTACATGTTTGGTCTACTGAAGTAAAACTAAGTGATAATAATATATCAAGGAATGACTTTCAACAGTATTAATTTTCCGTAATAACAAGCAAAAACAAACTGGTACTATACAATTTTATCTAAATACTAAAAAAATAGCTATATTTATTTCTCAAGGGAAATATCTAAATACATCATCCAATCTATAATTTTAGATTTATATGTGCATTACAACAGAACATTCATTAAGATTGTTACTTTTATGTACTTCTCAATAAATCAAAGATTTAGAAAATGAGTGTTCTTACACACCTTTTTACCAAACCTTATTATAAGGGCATTTCATATTTTTATATAATTATTATTTACATAGTAATGTTTTGTTTACAATAATTCCCTACCCATGGACCAAAAACATATTAACAGAAAATTATACTAAGGTGCCCAACTTATTAACAACAAAAGTAATGTTATATAATATAATCATTTACATAATACAATATAATTGGTTAAAATGTATATATTTTAAAATACTGTTTTCTGTTTCCTTAGAATTTTACTCAGACTTACTTTTAACAGTGTACAAGATTTGATTGGTCTGGTGTATCAGGTATAAAGCACTGACAAAAACTGCATTAGCCCTGTAACAAAATAATTGAAAAATATTTGCAAAGTATACAGGCAGGTAGTATATAAAGTGTGGGAGAGCCATGCTTCGGCATGAATGGGCCGGCTCGACCGGAGTGATACCACGACCTCACAGAAAACCGACGTGAAGCAACGCTTGCGTTGTGTTTCGTCGTGTGAGTGAGGTTACCGGAGGCCCAATTACCCTCCTCCCCTTCCCCAATCCCTGAATCCCCAACAATCCTCAAACTCCTAATCCCCAAATGGCCGGTAACGCACTTGTAACGCCTCTGGTGTTCCAGGTGTCCATGGGCGACGCCGATTGCTTTCCATCAGGTGATCCGTCTGCTCGTTTACCGGCTTATGCCATAAAAAAAAAAACTTTGAAGTTGGAAAAGAAAGGTTAGTAGATAAAAAATAATTCACCCGTGAATTGATTTTTTTTATATTAAAAATAGGTTCACCAAATTTCTGTGTATGCAGTTGGAAAGTAATGCTTTAATAAATTGTGTGTACTCACTGTCCCTCCTTGAAGTATTCCTTCAGAGTGTTGGAGAACCTCTTGGAATACTTCACAAACTCTCTCTTTCTCTGCTCTAGAACCTGTTTGCCAGTGCCCGGTGTATATGTGGATACTTCATTTACAGCATCAAGTAATTTCTTAATTGCCGAAGCAATTTCTCTGTAAACAAACAAATTATATTTCAAATAATGCAGCTTATACCAAATATGCAAATGTGTAATTTGCATGTTTTATATAAACTGCATAAATTAGAACAAATAAGTATACATTTAACGGTAAACTAAACTTTATTTCAATAAAATTAAACCAGTATAATAAGTTGTTATTAAAAAAACCTCAAATGTGGTCTTTAATGGATTTGTAAACTTGTTCTTTAATTTAATTTGCAATATGTGTATGTCTGTATGTATTTATGTGTGTGTGTGTGTGTGTGTGTGCGTGTGTGTGTGTGCGTGTGTGTGTGTGCGTGTGTGTGTGTCTGTGTGTGTGTGTGTGGGTGTGTGTCATTTAATTAAATATGTGACCATTAGAGAATAGACAAACATACTTGATTGTCTCCAAAAAAGTCTTGCGGTCAGTAATCTCATCAGGGATTCGGCTCAGGATTTTCTTCAAGGCTGTAGACTTCTTATTCAGTTCTTGGAATGCTTCCTCAGTCCTGTTCAATCTCAAGTCTGCACCTGCAACAGTAATGACACAAAGTTTGTAATAAATCCTCAAAAACTCATTTACTCCCACACTTTTATTATTAGAGGCATTGAAAACTTTAAAATGAATACAATTTCTAATAATAATTTCTGTAACACTAATTTGAAGAAAGATACATAAATGTACGCACATTTAGCTTCTAGTAACATGTTAACTGCCGCATAGGACAGCAGTAACCTACATTAGCGGAGGATTTGTCTTCAACAGTTTTCTGAAAGCAGTTGAGGGCCAGAAAAAATATACACCATTTTACTCACATTCAGCTTCAGTCAAGGTTCCTTGAAGCCGTAGCAAACTCTCATTCATGTTCACAGGTATATCAGCTCTCCTCATGATCCCTGCCACCAGGTCATAGTTGAGGCCAGGCACTGCTGCCTCTGCCTTTGTAAGAGCAGCACGAAGTGTTTGAGATGCACCCAAATCATACTTCTCCAGCTACAAAACCAACAAATATTTAATTCCTAATCACAAATTTTTAATTTCATACTACCTCCTACAGTGCCAAAATTATGACATGAATCACGTATTGAGGATCATCATTAAATACTAATAATGTCGTATCATTACACAACAAGTGCCATTATGTTAATTTGAGAGCTGTTTGGTCACAACCACTTGCAACTAATTTTACTTGCTCTACTTTTGTGTTAAGTCTATAATCCGTTAATGCACTTGTCTTTTAAATGCTATCATCTTAACTGTGATCTATGACGTACTCTAGACAAGCAATACGTAAAAGAACAATACATTATTTTAACATACCTGTGTTAAAACGGGACGTATGAGGACGGGTAAAACTAAAGAAGTAACAGGTAGTTCATCACCCATTGTCATTGTGGTTACAAAAATGATGTTTATCAATTCACAATGAAAAAAGTGCTGTATGACAATTTATTAATTTTCAGTAATTTTTTAGTTCACAGAAATCCACAAAATATTTAGCAATCACTTTGACACATAGAACTGTCAGCTGTCGATTGTCGATATCAGCAGCAGTTTATTTTGATTTTTTCCTAACCATAGATACAAGCCTTTCAGTCGCATTAAGCCCGCCGATCGATATCAATCATGGTGGCAAGTCTAACTTTTTTAAACTCATACATATTGTTGGGACGTTATATCAATAACATAGTACGACCATCGTCGTACTGTGGCCGCAGTCGTACAATCGGCTGCCAACCCGCCAATATTCTATGGGCAATGCAAAGTTTATCCGCGCGTCTCTAGCGGCGAAATTTAGAAGTTGTCTAAGAACGACACTTTGCTTTCGAGTTAGGGCTAATACATTTGAGTATACTCAAATGGATCACGGTTACATTCAGAAAGCTGTTAAAAATACAGTTACATAAAATATTATTGCGTTCCTCAATGTAATACTTACGGAGTTTCGGGAATAAGTTTTCATTTATTTCCAAAAGATAAAATTATGAATCAAATAAATTGTCTTACTGTTTGGAAAGAGGAAAGATCAGCTGTAAAACAATTAAGTATCCGTTTCAGATTTACTCAGCAGTGATATGTATTTATTTGATATTACGGATATTCATTCAATTGAACTTTACTTTAAAAAAAAAAATGAACTTTTAGAAACATTGGCAACTTGTATTAGTGGTTTGGCCTTAATGCTCCAACAAACAAGAAAATGTTATCTGTGAGAGACAGGGTTATTTTGACAATGGTAAAAATTAAACAATATATGTTAAATAATTTTTATTTAAGTAAATATCATAATTTATTTAACTACATAAATATTTACAACTCAAAATTAACTACAACTAAACTATTAAATAAAAAGAAAGTAAAAGAAAACAACAAAAATTATACCCTTAATTTAGGCGTCAAAGTATTCGTCCGCATCACTATCATAGGGGAAAGTTCCCAGAAGACTGGCAGCATTGCCACGTTGAATGGCAATGCTTATTTTCTGTCCGAAGAAAAAGCCAGCCCTCTGGTCACGTGTAGAGTCGATTAGCCTACGGGCGATGTCTTTAAACACAGAGTGTGCACTGGGACCCCATGGCCCAAGTGTTTCGACAATATATGTTATTTAGAGCCATTGGTGTTTTGTTTGGTATAATTAGGCAGACATGTTATAATTATTTTAATAATATGTGTTCCATGCTGAGTAGAGTACTCAAAGTTGTTATTCAATCCGAAATGATACGTATTAACTTACTTAAATCATTCCAAAAATATAAAAATACAAGAATAATATTAGTCTGTGGCGCTGAGACTGATTGAAAAACGTACATGTTTTAAAATGTAGAATATTGACGTACTCTCAAATAAAAAAAAACAATACAGCAAAGTTTAATATTGGAATAACTTCTGGCGTAATAAATGACATAAATGAATCTCATGGTGGCTGAGCATCTGATAAACATATTGTAAATGTTTAATGATGGAGTGATGGTGGATAAAGGATATAGGATTGAATTTGAGTGTAATGAAGGTTATTAATTAAATAATTAGTGTAACATTTGATTAATTTTGCAATATACTTAATTATATATATGTGACTGCACGGTTGGTGCGGTGGCTGGGCAACCGGCTGCCGTGCAACGTGTCGCGGGTTCGATTACCGCACGGGACAACACTGTGTGATCCACAAATAGTTGTTTATGGTCTGGGTGTCATTGTGTATGTGAACTTGTATGTTTGTAAACGCACCCACGACACAGGAAAATCCTATGTGGGGCAACGTTTTTTTATATATAATGGTTGAAAACTGTCAGTGTCGTTCTTAGACAGCTTCATTGCATTTTGACACTAGATGCGCTAGTTAGATTCTTTGCATCGCCAATGGACAAACACCTTATAAGGCAATATACTCGGAACAATAACTAAAGGCAATATATGACACAATGACAAATGACAGATAAAAAATTAACACACACACAATCGACATGATAAGTATACCTAGACACTGGCAGTATAGTCGACAAGATCATTTTGGAGACTCGTTTGCCAAAGAGGAAAAAAAAAAAGTAACTATACCTAGGCCTAGGACCTAGGTACTGATACTTATACTCTTTGAGACAGCACTGACCATAGATTATACAATATACAAGTGTAGATTTGAAACCGTGGCATTTCTCGGGGGCATGTCAAAGAAGTCATAAAGGTTCAATGTAAAAGAAAGTTTCGGGGCAATAGTTAAAAATACGGCTATATAAATTGTTTAACTTCGACAGTATTTCAGAATAAGCGACAGTAATGTTTCTAATTGGAGTTTTATGAAATTAGGAATAATATCAATTACGTGTTTGGGTTTGTGTGTGTTAAGCCGCGTTACAAAACTAGTTACAAGACCGTGGCGTATAGTTCGCACTCACGGATTTCCGTGATTTACAGAAAAATGAAAAATATTTAAGTACAATTTTTTTTATTGATTCGGACTCAGTATCGTTAGCCGAGTAAGTACCTCCTAGAAAATGACGCGGCTTTATAGCAACACTATGTCTGACAACTGACAAGGGACCAAAGAATAGACAGTATGGACAATCAAGTGTGACACTGACACCAAGTTTTGACAATTTTCGGTAGTAAGTGGTTTACTTCAACCAAATTAACTAAGTCAATAGTCTTGATATTTAAATAATTGTGTTTTGAAAGTCTACTACCGATTGACTAAATGGCGAAAAACACGTCAAGTTCTGCCTTTCGTAAGATCGATATCGATCAATATAATGAAGATAACTTTAAAGAAGATGAAGCAGAACAATCGATTCCTACTGGACCGGATGAAGGCGAAGTTTGCGCTTTATTGAATCAATATCCTTTTTACTGACATGCATTTTAATACATTATCATGTTATTTCAATAGTAACAAAATTACCAATGCCATATTTCTAGAAATCGTTGAATAACTAACTATATTTTAATTATTTCATTCTAGTACGTATGAATCATCGTATTTATCAGCAGGATTGTGTATATGAATATGCACGTTTAGTGGTTCTATGCTGCCCGATATAAAATGCTTGAATTTTCCTCTTTTAATAATTTTAGTAAAATATTGTTGTGTATAATCATACCTATCATGAATATTCTGGGCTGATTAGTGTGTTGAATATCTAATATTTTCAGGATTTGAACCACTAACTAATAAAATTTAATGATGTGTGCATTTAATTTTATTATTTCTTTAACTCTACAATACAGGTCGGTATATTGATGCCCTGAAGGTTGTTCTGAACAATGCACCAGTAGGATCAGCCAACCAACAAATCAAAGTAAGTCTTGGTTCAATAGACAAATAGGTAAAAAGTTAACAAGTAGTTGATGTGTGATTTTTTCCTTTACCTTTCTACTGTTCTATGGTTTGCTATTATGAATTATTTTTTAATTTGCAGGACAATGCCTTGGCATTGACTTTGAAAGTGCTACTCGCTATCAAGTCTACACAAATTGAAGAGGCTGTGGGTAATCTTTGTCAGGATGACATAGATATACTGATGAAATATATTTACAGAGGATTTGAATGTCCCACAGAGGGATCTAGTGGGCACCTGCTGCTATGGCACGAAAAAGCATTTAACATTGGAGGCTCCGGATCCATAGTCAGAGTGCTATCTGACAGAATGAAAGTGTAACAATATTGTAACTGTATTTAATCACATAATTTAAGTTTAATAAATCTTTTATAAACAATATAAATGCTAATAACGTTTTCTTAATTGAAAATAAGTTATTAAACTGTAAATGTCTTTAGTAACAGATGTTTTGAACACAAAGGTTAATAAATTACAAAACAGTCATCATTTATTTTATTCATTCTGTTCTATCTTAATTTAACTCGTCGAGTACCGTATTTATAGACACAATTAAAGAACAATAGGTTGCGGTCACCGGTGACCGCTTGGTGTTTGACAGTTTAAGATAGAGTAATCCCTGATCCCTAACCCCTATTAACCTTTTGAGCGCCGATGTCACATATAAGTGACAAGTGAAAACTGTCCCTGGACGCCAAGGACACAAATACATGACAGAAAAAGCGGAACCGGAAACACGAAATCAACAATTTGATTCCCTATTGGAATCCCTATTTCTTCCGTAGAAATTTGCGCGGAATTTGTGGCTTGGCGTTGAGGGCAGGTTCATGTGTTTTTGCTCTGGCGTTCAAAAGGTAAGTTATCTATATAAATCAAAATGATTTGTTGTCTCCCTAAATCTGGTAAATAGCTGCACCAAGTTGTCTAATTTTGGTCTTGAAATGTTTTTGGTAGTCCAGGGCAGGTTTAAAAAGTGAAGAAATGTTTTATGCTGTACAAAGTTTGCCGAGTCAACTAGTACCCTTATATATAATATTATAAATCGGAAAGTGAGTTTGTTCCGCTTTAACGCCGTAACTACTGAACCGATTGCTTTGAATTTTTGCAGACGTAAAATTAGAGGTCTAGATTAAATAATAGGGTACTTTTTATCCCGGAAAATTTGGTATTCTCCAGGAAAACGAAATTATTGGTATAGATGGCGCTATGTGTATTAGCATATGTCACATAGGCTTTTTATCTTTTTGTGATGCGTGCGAAGCCGCGGGTAAAAGCTAGTACAATATATAACTTACTAGGCCTATTAAGTCATATTGACAAAGTGGATGCTGGAAAAAGAAGAGGTGCCAAGCTGTCTTTCCTGCACACGGCGGCAGCCGATTTGCAACCTCCATAGGAGACGTGCTAGCGACTAGCTAGTCCACTGTATGTTAGTGTAGTGGTTCATGCGCGCTACCCAAGAAAAATAATCAGCTCCATTAAAACTGCTTACTTTGGCGGGACCTACCGCAAAAGGATATCTGCCAAATTCCGCGAGGGCGACTCAGGTTACCGAAGGATAAAATAGAAAACAAAAAAATAAAGGAATCATTCGGGACGCGGATTGAATCCGAATGTCCTGCGTGGAAGGTACCTAATTTCCCGAATAAGCTATTTAAACGCTATTGGTAATTTTTAGTTTATCTATTCTTATTTTAATAACAAGATTATTTTTATTAAATTAAAATATGGACAAATTTCTAAAAATCAAACCTAGCTAGATCGATTTATCACCCCCGAAACTCTTATACGCAAAATTTCAAGAAAATTGATGGCGCCGTTTCCGAGGACGTTGATTTATATTATTTTATAGCCAAATGATTAATTCGATATTATTTCATCATTGGTCCATTGGTATACATAATACCTATAAGTATACTGAATTTGGTTAAACTCATTAATCAGAATTAATCACAATGAATAGCTATTATGAGTAGGTAATATGTTCGAAAACTTGGATAAAATTTCAGTAGTAGCCATGGAGTCTGTAATTGTGCCCGGTATATGGCAATAGACTCACCTCCTTATATGGGACCCACATTATATGGGACGGACTCATAACATAAATAATAGTGAAAAGTGTGTGTTACATTGTATAGTGGCATTAAGTGCCGTAATGTGCACCTTTCCCTACCCCGTCGGGGATAAAAAGGCGTGATGTTTGATTAGCCGCCATCTTGGATTTACATTTCGGCAGCACCTTACGTTTTACTACTCTCGAAAACCAAGAAAACTACACCCTTAACGATAATTTGAAAGTTTCGTGCAGCCGCCCTCTTGGATATACATTTTACTAGCACCGTCAGTTTTACCACCCTCGAATACCGTTACAACTAAATCCATGATGAAAAGTTAAACATTTCGTGCAGTGGCGGATTTTGACTGAGCCGTAGTCATTTCAGCTAGTCATCCAGCCGTCATTTTCAAAGACGCCACTTCACTCGCCGTTAAGACCGCTATCTATTTATCACTTTAGTTAACTTAAGCCTGCTGTTATTTATAATATCTGGATAAAGTGATTAATTTATCACATTCATTAAGCAATTTGGTTATTATGCATCGTACCAATCATTATGAATAATATCAAATTTATCACTTTGGCTGTAACATATACCTACTATACAAGAATTGCTCGTTTAAAAGTATTAAATAGATGAGGCCGGAATTTCAATCGACTACCTACTCCGAGAAATCGACTGAACGGTTGGCGCGGTGTTTGGGCAACTGGCTGCCGTGCAACGTGTCGCGGGTTCGACTCCCGCACGGAACAACTTTTTGTGTGATCCACTGATTGTTGTTCCGGGTCTGGGTGTCGTGTGTTTGTGAACTTGTATGTTTGTAAACGCACTCTCGACACAGGAGAAAATCCTAGTGTGGGGCAGCGTTTTTTAAAAAACAAAGAAGAAATGTATGCCAAGACAAACTCACGGGGTCTCAATCACCTTCAAAGTACACACATGGTTATCAAAGTACAGGGTGTCCTTGGAAGTATGGATCAAATCAGATTATGTACTCATTCCTTAACTTTTTGCTCTGGGAATGGGGTTCCGGTTCTTAACGGTTCAGATGTTATGACTAGCTTTCGTTTTTTCAGTTATTTCCCAATGTGCTCAAAGAACTGATCACAAACAAAAAAAGGAGGTATTAAAGTAATTTTTATTTTTAGACTTCCTACAAATTTGGGCCTGTCTTATCACCATATTTTAAATCAGTAAAATAACATGCATTTAATAAAAAACACTTTCAAATATAAAGCCTTCGGTTCCGCGAAAATTTATTCAATTTTAATGTGATTTTCGTGAAAAAAGGTAGATCAGCGGGACAAAGTGACAATTGTCTCTATGATTGAATTCCACCGACACTATTAATAAGCACGGACCAGTTGTACATTCAATTTCTAATTGGCCACATAATATGTATGTAGGTAGTTTGATGAAGAGACCTATGTAAGCAAGTGTAAGTAACTATTTACGCGAAGCTGTAGGTAGTTAACGAAATCTGAACCTAAATACATAATTATATCAATCAATCAAATTAATATTTATTGCATCCATAATGTACACATACAGGTGGTTAGAAAAATACAATTAGTAATGTCGGGCACAGCAACATTTAAGATAGGTAGCAGAGAAGAAGGGCGTTTTGTTAGATTACTATTAATTTGATGTCTTAATTAATAAAAAAAAGGTATTATACAACTAAATTATGTAATGAATGAATTTTACTCAGTCGTTCTTTACCTAGTATATAGGATATTTAGTTTTGGGTACCTAATTGTATTGTAAAGCCTACATAACAGCAATATTTAGTTTAGTTAGTATAAGGTAATTTATTTGTGTAGTTTATTTAAATTATATTATATTATAATGTTTATTTTTCAGTAATATTAAGTTATTTAATTTTTAGCTTAGACTAGCTTGTCAAATCAGTCAATTATGTAGTCAATTTATCATTTAGAAATTAGTGTACGGTGTAATAACATTTTTTAATCAAATATCGCTTTAATTTTCTCATAAATACATTGGTTTTTTCTATTTTTTTTTAAGTCTTCTGGTAATTTGTTATAAATTTTTATCGACATAACATAGGGGCTAGAGGGCTAGAGGAGTGCATCTTAAGGTTAGAGCGAGGCAAGTCCCATCTGTTTTTATGTCGAAGCGAGTGGCTTGATTGTATGTCTCCTCTTTTTTTATAACAATCTGGATATTTACGAACTAGCTTGCACAATTCTAAAATATATATATATTTATTAAGGTGAGAATATTATGTTTTGTGAAGTAAGGTTTGCAACTATTGGTTTGTATGTTGGCTATGATGCGGATTTGTTTTTTTTTGTAAAATAAACAATGAATGAGCATCCGTAGGTACTGTTTCCTCAAAAAATTATACCATAAGTGAACCAGGCGTCCAGGAACCATACGCATAATATATATATGCAGTTTGTAAATCAGTTGTCTTTTTAATTTCATGTAGGGCATATGAGAACTTTGCGATTTTTTACTTTAATTTGATAATATGAGATTTCCAGTTTATGTTTGTATCTATTGTCAAGCCTTATATTATATAAGTAGTACCTAAAGTATATAGAGTTTATAATTTTTACACTACCTAACGTACCTACCACAGATGTGTTTCCATCACAAGGGTACAATTGAACAATATTGTACCTACAGCCGATGTCAAATAAATTAATAGGTACACCCTATCTATTTATTAGTAGTTATTACTAGTTACCAAAATAACCATCGGACACCAGATGGTCTTACTAATATTTAGAAATAGGTACCAGAATATTTTAGTAGGTACCATTCTTACATAAACAGTAGGTCATCAATGTCAATTGCCAAAGTTTGATAAGAAACCTTGCATTGGAAAATAATCAAAGTATCTACCTACACGTAGTTACCCTACACGTACCTAAAAGGTGAAAGATTTCCGCGAAGGTAGGTTAGGTTTCATTGAATTATTAATATAAATACATATATATTTTACCCTTAGTATGACACGGCCACGGATCTGAGTAAGCAATTCGATACTATACAAATGAGTAGGTATCTGTAACCGATCACGTTGTCGTAGGAACCTAATTATTGAGAGCCTAGTCAGACCACTACTCGAGCCTGCAACAAACACAAGTGACTGCTGAAGAAAGTAATTGGACGATCAAAGCGTCGAACGTAAGCCTGTCTCTCGCCCAGAGAGAATGTGCGATATATAAGCCACTAAGCTGACTCGCTATTCGGTAGTTTTTTAACTGCGCCGGAGACGCACACTTGTACGACAATGGAAATACCGGTTAGTAAATAATTCAATTGCTCTCGTTGCACTGCTCCGATTGCTGTCATTTTTGTTATGTTTTTTTTTATTTATCAAGCTTCTTAAGTTGTCGATGTTATATAATTTATTTACGTAATGAACACTTCCTTTTCTGCACTCACTAGTAGTTACGTCAGCTAGGAAAAAAAATATTACAGTTGACAATACAGTTGCAGATTAAATGCAACACTTACATAAGTTTCATATCCCTTTTTAAAATAACTTATGCAATTTGTCTTCTACATAGGTACACCTTATTGGTGACTAATTATTTAAAGTGCTGAAGTATTTTGTACTTATTCTTATTTCGTTTCTGATTATGATTTTAACTATTGGTTAATTAATAAAACTAGCGGGGTTCTTCGTCAAAAAGAAACACACTGTTTGTGACTATTAAGTAGATATGTATGTACTTAATATGTATTTTGTTTTTACAGAAGTTATTGATATTGCTGTGCTGCTCATACTATGGGTTTGCTTCACACCACGGTCACACAATACCAGTGGAAAACTATGAAACTGAACTACAAGTCCTCGGTGAATCTGTGGAAATTCCTGAAACACCCGTCAGAGTGGTCAAAATCACCAAAACTGTAGCTGTCAAGGTCCCAGTGCCATATCCAGTGAAAGTGATTGAGAAAGTACCTTACCCTGTTCACATTAACAAACCCTACCCAGTGCCAGTGCCACAGATTGTAAAAGTTCCTCACGTTGAGTCTCCACCGAAGTTACATGCGCACGAAGCTCTCGGTAGCCAAGATGGCCAAAGCCACTTCCCTGGAAATTCTTACCAGGTTCAAGAAGCACACTCTCGTGACGGACCCTCCGATGACTCATATGGACCAGAAATACAATCCTACAATGGAGACAACTCGGGCCACAATCACGGTTTTGCGTCTTACGGCGATGAGTCTTCAGAAGGATCCCCTGGTGGCTCGTATGGAGGGCCATCACACACCTACTATGGTAACATAGGCGGTAATGATGCTGAATCTTTTGAATCCAAAAATTATAATCAAGCAATAAAAGACTACATTCATAAATCGAACCCTAGCGGTCACACAGGTTTAAATTATCATTAAATGTTTCAAAGATGTTAATATTAACGTACCTGACTGCATTCTTTAAATAATAATATTTTATCTTTATATCTGTACATATTGTTATGTTCATGTTTGTGTGATTTGTGACAGTAGTGTGTTGGAACAGTAGTATTGTTATCGTACATAAGCATATTTTTGTTATTGTTGTTACTAGATGTGTATGGCGCAACGTTGTTAATTTTGAAATAAATTATTAAAAATAAAACGTTATAATATTTATGTTCATTTATTTCCAGTGTCAATATTACCACATCTAATTGAAAATGTAAACGCTAATGAATTTATGTAGATATAACCATTTAAATTATGAGGACATGGTAAATTTGGGTAATATTTTTAGCCAATAATAATATTCTTACAAATTTAAATTCTCTTAAAACTTAGGAATGCACAAAGTAATAAACGCGTGACAGGAAGGTGTAGCCCTTTCACCTTTTACTGTAACATTACACAATGATTAAGTTGTGAAATATCTAATTTGCTTATTACATAAATCATTACACCACCAAAGAAAGACATTCCATTTTCTTGTAAAAAAAACAAAACACATTACATATTTAATCTTATATTTAGTTACGCAATATATGTATATATACATATATCTATATATTCTGAAAACGAAAGTAAAAACAAGTAAATTCGATTCCTGTTCTGATTACTTACTTCCATGTAAGATCGACAATTTTAGTTAATAATAAAACAGTGGATAAACATTTTAAAACGAAGAAAAATAATTCACTCTTGGTCGTTTCCCCGAATTATCGTCGTCTAAATCACCGCACAGTTCATCATTTTCATCATGGATAGGGTTGACTGCAATAATAGGTCGTACTACTTCAGGCTTTTCATCCTCATCTGACACGTACATCCGAGTGAGATCAGAAGCAACTGATGCCGTCTCGCAAACACTAAAAAATACATGAAAGTAACTAACATTTTCTCATTTTTGTCGTTTTGCATGTCTATCGTAATTGGTAACACATGGCAATCATACCTGTAATGTTCAGAATCAGGGACAGGCAGGTTGAAGTGTGTGGTTTCTTGTTTGATGCTCATGATGGTAGGCATCATGAGGCCGGAGGCCGGGAAGGTAGCGCCCGTCACAGTCGCAGTCGAGCTGATGGCCACCGGGCCCGTGGCCAGCAGCAGCGGGGGAACCGACACCTCCGTGTCCTTCACAGGCAGCTGCTGCAGATTGACGATGTCCGACTGCGCCTCCTCATCACTTTTAATGATACTACTACAAGAAAGACACGCAGGTATGTAGGCAGAACAACAATATTTTCATGAACCTTAACCTGTAATCGAACCATACTTTGACAACTAATTAGGTATAAAATAAAGAAAAACGATAGTTATATGAGAAAAGTACACAAGGGTAATGACCAGACCTAAATTACTATTTCACAACTGGATTAGCCGTTAGCTCTATGTTTGACGCGTTCCTAATATATATAAACACATACCTAAGTAATATATCTTAATAAACAATTCCTTTTACCTTCCCAAGTTTAAGGCTATTTTGTACTCTTGTGATTTTTGCACCACTTCCAACCAGTTGTGTTTATCAACATCACCGCCTTCTGAATTAAACGAGGAGCTAGGCCTAGAATACAATTTATACATATTAAGTTATTCACCATTTATTTTTCATACAACTAGTTGACTAAATAGGGGGTGCTTGACAATGTATTAGATGATAGTTCAATTTGAAACTACACATGAATAATATATAGCCTATTTTCAGGGAAGGTTGTAAGGCTTTTTAGCACATCTGGACCTTTTAAACACGACGGGAAATAATTACCCAAATGCAGTTGCGGAAAGATACTGCTATTTATGCGCCTATTCTAATGACAGAGAGATGAAACCAGTTAACTGCATCAACTGCCTATAGTATTGTAGGATTTAAATGAAACGAGATAATTGTAGCATGCTGATAATAATTTGTTGTCGCCTCGTCCAAACACATCGATAATATAATTACAGCTATTTTTGTATGACAGATGATAGTATCTAAATTGTAAAACATTGAAGGTTGAAACTTAGTCCTAACTAACTACTGACATTCACCTGTTTCAGATAATCCAGGTTGGCAGTTTTAATGAATAGTATTTCCTACACTTATTTGAAAGAAAAAATATTTGTAGGGTCATCACATCATAGGCGCGATAAAAATCAACCTTTCTGAAATCTTCGCATAATGGTCATAGCACAGGACCAATTTAATCTTATACCATGTTCCTATTGAAGAAGAATTAAGGGAACCGCAAAAATTAGTACATCAAATCCCGTAACTACGTTTGTGCGCTATGTGTCGATTGTGGATTACTTAACTATATTTACTAGATATAAAAAACAAAATATACTCACATTGGTGTGAAATTAACCATGGTGGCTAGGTGTTTTTGTTTATGGATCTGATAGAAATTGTCAGAATTTTCTATCATACTGATATCTTTTGTGAGATCAGGCAATAACAACAGATTTTCTTGTTGCATCGAATTTGAAATACTACTGTCCGATATATCATTTATAGAAAACTTGAGTTTAGCTGAAATATAACATGATATTTCGTAAGCTAAATCATGGTCAAATCATTTATAGAATGAATACATAATTATTTGAAACTCTCATTTTATAACTTTAGAAACTTACATTTATCTATAGGTGATATCTTTCCGGCCACGTCATAAAGAAAATCTGCGGTCCAGAAATGAGGTATTCGAATAAAAACTTTGCCGGAGTCCACAGGCATGTGAAATCCTAACTTGTGCAGCAGCTGCAGAAACTTCAGATCTTTACAAATAGACGCCTGCTTGCAGTTCCATGGCACCAGCGGGATAGATTGATTCATAACTACAACAAAACGCATACAATTATGAATTACTTCAGATATATTTATTTTCTTTCCTTTAAAAGCAGTTGCCTCACACTAGGACTTGTCGTGGATTATTTTATAAACATACAATTTCACATACACATAACACCCTGACGCGGATCAATAATTAATTTGTGGATCACACAGAGATGCTTCGTGCGGGAATCGAACCCGCTACACATTGCGCTGCAGTCGGATACCCAGCCACCGCGACAACCGTGCACGTAATTACGCGTATGTGTAATTTTGCAGTACAGTCAATTATAAAAACACTATAAACAATACTTACGCAGGGAGTGATACGATACTGGAGACAGTATGTGCAAATCATTAGATTTCTTCAACTTGCTTAACTTAGTTTCATTTTCTTCTATAGTATTGTCACCCTCACTTTTTCTTGCCAGTTTATCCAAATATATCTTAGCGAAGCAGGTCTCCAATAATACTTTTTGGACCCAATCAAGGAACTTAGACTTCCCATCTTGTGTAAGTTGTTCACAAAGCTTATTAATTTCATCGTCTCTCATCTCTTTCATAACTTGTACAGTTTTTATATTCCTGTCGTTTTCACCTTTCACAAACTTATCATAATCTTCTTTGTTTATCAGGTTTTGAGTGTAAAGCTCTTTTATAACTGAATCCCTCGATTTAATGATTCCGTCTTCTTTATACAGTGTAATGATCTCGCCAACTACATCGGGTAAAGCACTGCATTGCATGTAATTCCAACTCAATGATGATAATTCATCCTCTGTCCACCTGTAACATTTTAATAGGATATGTTTTGTCGTAATTAGTATCCAAAATTATATGTAAAATAAACGTATAACAGGATTTGTTTCCGTAACCGGTTTTAAAGGACAAATAAATTGTTTGATAATCGTAATTTAAACACATTACCTGGACTCTCCCTTTCCTTTTTCATTAGAGACGCAGCTTGTGTTACTTTTAGTCGTTGGTTTCTTCTCGTCAGCCTCAAGTGTATCTGGCTTGCTCTGTGCTGGGGGACTAACTGTAGGCTTTGGTACAATTTTGACATCATCAAAATTCTCAATATCAAGTCTGAAGTTCGCGGTACTTTGCAGAGAATGGGGTTTTTTTATAAAAGTATTTATCACATACTCGATAAGATCCGACCAATCCTGTAACAGACAATGTATTAAATTAAAATTACACTGTTACACACTGGATTTTGTTGTACAAGTACATTTTTAGTTACTTCATCTTACATCGCATATTTCAAATTCAGATTTCCATATAGAAGTAAAAGTCTTCAAGATCTTCGGTTGGAATAAAGTTATTAAACTTTCAAGCTCGCCTCCGACGTGGTGCATCAGGGTGAATATACAGTCATTGACGAACTCTCCGTTACCGGCGTAGTCTTCCAATAGTAATCCATACTGGTACATTATTTCAGATGAAGCAAATCTGTCCACCAAAGCATTTACCATTAAAATTATTACTTTCAATAAACAAAATAATATAATAGGGTAGTTTCTTAAATTTTATTTTAATGTCCGTTTGGTACATTGTTTTTTACAAAATTAAATACTTTCGACGATATATACGACGTCACAACGTCACACGATATTTCAAATTACGATACACGCTGTGGCGTGTAGCACGTTGTGACGTAATGACCTCCCACTCCTAAACTTAGCGCTATTTTATCTAAGTATTGCAACTTAATACGAGAAAATAAAAAATACGTGTCTTATATTTTTTCATGTAACTGATTGATTAATTAGATTTTTAATTTTGGTACCCTGAAAACTACCCAGTTTAGTTGAAATGTAGATGTCGCAGTCATCTGGTTTAATATGCTATTTGATTTATTGGCTAACACGGTAATTGAATGACTTAATTGAACGTCAATTCAGAAATTTAGTCAAGTCAACCGGAACCAAAACCAGTAAGAGCGAATTGAAAAATTACAGGATTACTGAATGAAACCACTGTTCCGGAGATAAGCACGTTCAAACAAACAAACTCTTGAGCTTTATTACGAACTAGCTTTTACCCGTGGCTTCGCTCGCTTCACAAAAGGATATAAAGTAGCCTATGTGACATATACCAATACACACAGCGCCATCTATACCAATAATTTCGGTTTCCCTCGAGAATATCAAATTTTTCCGGGATAAAAAGTACCCTATTATTTAATCCAGACTTCTAACTTCACATCTGCAAAAATTCAAAGCAATCGGTTTAGTAGTTACGGCGTGAAAGTGGACAAACAAACTCACTTTCCGATTTATAATATTAGTAAGGATAATAAAGTATAAAATTAAAAGTATAAAAAAGAATTTAATAGGAAACTGAATTGAAAAAAAATCTTCTATCTATAATATAAGGTGTTTGACGCCAAATTTTTTTGGTGACTACTAACACCGCCGACCGGCAAACAGATCTCCAGAAAATTAGTAGTAGCTATTTTATAGATACTAAAACTAAATAAAGTCAATAAGTTTTAATAATCTAATAGTTTTAAGTTGGATCCGAATAAAGGGTTATTTTTATTCAATCATATAGATTCAACTAGACGACTGCGACAAAGAGCCGATTTTTCAATCATCGGTTACTTCTGAACTGTAGAATAAATTGACATTTGACCGTTTTTAGTATGGACGAATAATTGTGAATCAAAGTTATTCCTCAGTTAAAATTTATCTGGCGTTGCAATAATCGTGCCTAAATGGTGTAACTCAATAAAATAATTTTCAAACGTTCCGTCAAGCCAAGCATTGTTACATAATTGACGTGCCCCGATAACTCTGGAACTTTTTGAACATTTTCATGATTTTTTCGAGCATAGTTCTAAGAGTTCTAGTAAAATTAATAATGCTACAAAACTCTTACTGTCTGATGTGGTCAAGCATGTTCGTGGAACCATTGTATTCCGGCAATTTCATTGCGCTGTCGAGGAACATGAGTAAGATGTGGTTTGTCACTATGACATCCTGAAACAGAAAATTATCATTATATAGATAAATCCAAACTTCTGAGATTAGTACCAAGAATATTGAATACACACAAAAAAAACCCGAAACTATAATGAAACTTTACGAGTCACGATTGGTGACTGGTTTAGTGGTCGCAAAAACTTAAACTATAAGTTGAATAAATAATCTTATACGACATGCAATACATGCCTAGTAATTTACTTAGCGTTAGCTTCTTTTTAATTAAGGTTTTCTCATATACTCATTACCTAAGTAACAGGTACTAAATTCTAACTAATAAAGGACCATATATAAAAATTGCCCATCAACAGATTTAAATAAATAGATATTGACGATCTGATATGTATATAGTACGGCTTTTACAATATTATAAGTTCGTGTGTATGTTTGTTACTCAATCACGTCAAAACAGCTGAAGGGATCGGGGTGAAATTTGGAACAAGAGTGATGATCACACATGGGCTACTTTTTATCCCATGAGACCGCGGGCGAAACCGTTGGCAGAAGCTAGTAAAAATACAAATTAAATAATTATATTGTTTTATTTTAGTACTCAGTTGTTGCAGTAACGACACAGGTGAAAATCCTAGTGTTGGGCAACGTTTGAAAAAGTAGTTAGAGCAGCAATAAAAGTAAATAACCTGTCAAAGTTCATGAGTTTCAGCCTAGTGACGACAGTCAGAGGGATGGACAGATGGACATCAAAGACTAAGTAATATGGCCTACATGTATCCCTTGGGTACGAACCTTAATTTCAATTGAAAGTGTATGTAAACTTACGGTAGATGTCAATAATATTATCGAGTTGCCAATACCATTACAATACAAAAAATTGTAGGTCGAAACCCATGTTCTTTTGCAGCGTCCTTTTACAATTGTGATGTAAAAAACATTTTCTCTGTGTGTTTTATGTTTACCATAAATTTTACCCCCCCCCCCCCCATCATTTTTTATACAGATCACATTGCGACACTGGACAGTAATAAGAGTTATAGGAGCATCGACACTAAAAATGTTATTTTACCTGGAGATATTGCTTTGAGTGATACTTCGGATTGTAGTGACGCAATAGCAAGACTAGAAGCGACCTCAGCTCTTCAGTCTCGCACATTTTAAGTTGCAATTTAAGAAGTGCCTCCTGATCCTCCTTACAAATGTGTGAAAACTTTTTATACACATCTATGGCCTGTATTATTTCCCTTATAGCCGTAACGACCTGCGGATACATTAATATTGGTATTGTTTTAAAAACACATTACATCACATTAGATTCTAAAAACTGCATCATTTAACGATTTATGTATATTTTTTCACTTAAAGTAAACAAAACATAATGACTTACCAAATGAAGTCGCCTAATATTGGGCTTTAAGTCGTTGCCATCTAATTTTATAGCCAACTCAAATTGTTCACATAGATTTACCCCTTCTGCAGTTAGGTACGAAACTATATCAATAGATAAAACAGAGCTAACATTTTCCAAATCCAATTCGATTTGCGTAGCGAACTTCAGAAAGTAAGTGACCAACCAAAAGAAGTGCGATGTGTCTATTTCTAGTTGAAGGTTGGACAAAATTTGGTTGTGAAGTGTCTGTACTAATGAGTTATAACCCTTCAAAAGGAAATCCACGGTGAACTCTTTTAAAACGTTGGATATATCATCATCTGTCGGCGTCTTATGGGATAATCCTTGGACGTTGATTCTGAAAAACAAAAAATAATAGTTAAGTAAATCAATTCACTAAGCATAGGGAAACTAAATCCGAAATAACTGTCATTATTTCAACATACATGTTAGATTTGCCTCTTTTGACAATTTTCTTCCGCTTCCTGTCTTGCATGGTAACGCCTGAGCGAGCCTTGTTATTTACCCTCTGCTTGGGGTTGTGTGGCTTTTGATGAACAGGTTTCTTTGATGGCAACTCATCTTCATTGCTTGACGTCGATATTGACTCTTGATTTTCGATTTGTGTGCCATAACCGCAATCAGAATTTTCTGATATCACAGTTTTCTTTTCAGTGTTACTTGATGGTTGCGTCGGGCCACTTCTATTAGTCTGAGCGCCTCCACTGCAAGACGTTGATTGACCCTATAATTAGCAGTTTGAAATGAAATAATCGTTAACACAATATTAAAAAAATATTTAGCCATAGAGATATCATAAATGCAGCATACGTTATCGGATTGCACAATCTCATCGTTGTTACTTTCTATTGAATTATTTTTATCTTCGTTATCCGATTCTTTTTCTTCGGTTGTCTGAAACGGTGGATTACCATTCTCACTTGTGTTGTTCATTTGAGAAGACGCATCCCAATCCTTATTAACAGAATTGGGATCATCATTACTCTTGCCGCTGCCACCCGTATCTGATGAATCTGATGTTGGCTCAGAAGTACACATCGGTGACGAGTCGCTACCTAAGACAAATTTATAATATAATTATTATTAAATATGGTTTCTTCTTAAAAGAAATAATGTGTGCATTATTCTCCGAGAGAATACTTACCCCTGTCTGGTGGAGATGTATTGCTCTCATTATCTTCTGAACTTTCAGATAATGAAGCTTCTATCCATAAATTGAGCAGTTTATGCAAGGTCACGACATGTTGGTCTTTGTACAGCAATGCTATTAATTGAACCATTGTTACTGCCCATTTATTCTGGAAGGAAAAACAAATACAAAACACACATCTCGACTCTTAAAACTTTTTCGCATACCCACTTGGCAATGTATACACTGGCACACTGTAGCGTTTACACACATGCTGTCTAAAACAGATGAATAAAAATTTTAATAAATTAAATATGACAGTAATTTAACAGACATTAAAAATAAATTTGTTTGTTTACCTTATAGTAAACTTATATAGTTTAGCATGACTTACCGCATCAGGAATAATCATTAACTTAATGAGAATTTTATCAATACTTTGGCTAAATATATTCCATAAAATTTGATTCTGTACAGCGTGTGGCCCATTATAACTAGGACTTTGGCCACTGGGTTCCTCTGGTATGTGTAAAATATTCCGCAGTAACAGAAGGCTGTTACTAATGTTTGTGCATTGCTCTGACGTTAGCTTAGATTTTTGTTCGCAATCGACGTTTTTCTTTAAGAAATCTATAACCACTTTAGTCGCACGGTGATCCGTAAAAGCCACCTTGGTAGAAGCAAGCAAGTTATTAATTTCAAAAATAGTATGTCTCCCAAAATCATTTCTAGATATGACGTCAACAGATAGTAAACACTCTATAGGAATTGTCAGATTTACTAGTATTCTAATTAGTAGTTCTATAGTCGCATCTTCTTTGGCATGAATTAGAAGAGGTATTAAATCTTTTTTGATGTTTTGTCCAAAGCTTATACTTCTACGATATGTACGTAGATATTTATCCTCTGTCAGGATATTGTGAAGAATAGACTCCAAAGCAGCTGAAACGTACAAAAATACACAAGTGAAATCAGATTTATTTGTGGGTACGCTCAAGTAGACGTAACCGTGAAAATGTACACCGACCATTGCAGTTTTCGTTCACGTGATATCCATCTGCATGTAGAAATCCGAGGTTGCTGAATGTACTATGAATTTGTGGACTTCGAAGGACCCATTCCATTTTGTATCTGAAACAATGTCGAAATGTTACATCTTCTATACCAACCGGACGATTGCCCTTGTTATCAATTCATCATAATTTTATTTTATTAGGTACCAGCGGACCCGACAGACGTTGTCCTGTATATTATTATATTTCAAGCGATTAGGGTATTAAAAAAGTATGAAAGGAAAGATATAATGTGCACAAAAAAGTTGTTAACATGCGACGAATGTTTTACAATAACCGCTCAAAACCTTCAAAAATTGCATCAAATGCAATTTGAGCCGAATAATACGAATTAGTAGGGCTTTTTTTTTTTTTTTTTTTTTAAGGGGGGAAAATCATCGAATGACTGCTCCCGCCTGGGTGAGGCGGAAGGGAGTGTCAGACTCTTACTGACTAAAAACCACCCCGTTCCTTCTCCTGCACGTCGAGCCGGAGCCCCGGTTACCCGTTAGGTTCTCCGCGACTCCGAATCGGCATCGGCCCTATTGGGCCCCATCTGTGGTGGTCTGATGGCTCTTTGAGGCGCGCGCGGAACGCGACGCGCCGTACGCTCGGGTCTGTTTCTGGTCGGACGGGGAGCCACCCATGCTCGCCGTCCGCAGGCCCGCGCTTACGGTGGCCGGAGATCGTCCCGCGATCCCCGACGCCCGGTGTGTCCTTCGCGATGGCTGGGTTGCGAGGAGGCAGCGCTTCGCTGCCTCACGCGTCCCGCCTCCTCCTTAGCTAGCATGACTGCTTCGCAAAAGGAGGAGACGGCATCCCAGTCCCCCTCGCTCCGCATCATGGCCTGCACTAGGCCCGGACGCGAGTGGTCGCCATCGCCGATCACTTCCCTGAGGGCACGGCGGTGCTCAGCCCACGCAGGGCATTCCGCTACGGTGTGTTCCACCGTGTCCTCAGGGCGGTCCTCGCAGTGATGACACCCGGGCGTTTCCTCCCGCCCCATCAGACACAGGTACCTCCCGAAACTTCCATGTCCGGTGAGGACCTGCGTCAGGCGGTAGGTGAGGACGCCGTAGCGTCTCTCAAGCCACTCCTCAAAGAGGGGACTTACCGCTGCAATGGCAGCGAGCCCAGCCCTCGGTTGCGACAGTCGTTGCTGCCATTCCGCCATGAGATCGCGCCGGAGCTCATCCCGCCACGCACTTATCTGGCGCGGCAGCGGAGTTTCACCCCGGCGACGTGCCTCCGCGCGCATGTTATACACGCGCGCGAGCACCTTCGCCTCCAGATCCCACGGCGGTAATCCGGCAAGGAGGTTCGCCGACTCCCCAGCGATCGTGCGGTATCCGCGGATCATTCGGATCGCCATGACCCTCTGTGACTTGAGCAGCGTCCGAGCAGGACGCCGCAACAAGTTCGGCGCCCAAACAGGGGCGCCGTAGAGGGCCATGGACCGCACGACCCCGGCGAATTAGTAGGGCTAAGGAACAAAAAAATTGAGTGAAGCAACTACTGTTCAACAATACGGAAAAACGAAAACGGAAATACATCTCAACACTGTCACCATCATCATCTGAGGGAATAACACTTTCAGAGCTTAATTTAACTGCCGAAGAACTAAACGATTTGGACGAGGTAGAAAAAAGTCAGGAGCGCAACATCGGCAATATTCTGGTTCAACCAGATTTGTCCGAGTCACTGAGGCCTCCCGCCACGCCGTCAAGTCCTGGCGAGCCAAGTCAATACATCATCAGCAAGTCGGGTTCGCCTGTGATGTTTGATTAATTACTATATATATATTGCCAGAGTGATTAATATAATGAAACCTTAATAGATACCTAATTTACAATTTTGTGGCCATTATGATATGAGCTTATGGCACCGACTTCTAACCTCAGTGGGCGGGTAACCTATCGATACTAATGATAGTTATTTTTTTTTTAGTTTTGACTTTTTGTTTGTTATTAGTTTTTTGGTTTTTTAAGTCAGTTTTTATTTTATTATTTTATCATTTTCAGTGGAAAGCAACATAGATCCATTTTGTCACTTATAATCTGCATAGGTGCAAAGTTCTACACAAAATAGTTACTGTATACCGTTGAGGAGTTCGCGATAGCTTTAAACGGACAATCATTCTTACTAACAAGTTACTAACAAGTAATGTAATGTTCATCTAAATATTTAAAAGAAGTATGGGCTGTGCTGTATAGAGTGGGTTCCAAGTGCCGAACTGGAACGTTTTTCATTCAACTACATTACACAGTTCTTTATAGTATTCGTAGTTACGATTATTAAAACATATTTTGTTGCCTTGTATTGTGTTAATATTAAATTGCATGATTTGTCTTTCTATGAGGGAATCTTATTAACACGCAACAAAAAATAAAGGATTCTTGTTTATTTAAATAAAATCTATTTCATTTACATCCAACACATAACATAACATTACGCCTTTTATCCCCGAAGGGGTAGGCAGAGGTGCACATTATGCTCCTGTACAATGTAACACCCACTTTTCACTATACTCAATACTCAATACTTTATTGCTTTTCACATGTATTACTTAGGTGGTAAACATAATTAGGACACAATGTGAACCCTATCGGGCACAACAACATAAGTTTTGGAGGGAGCACACTTGACATGTTATTCGGAGAATTGAAAAAATATAATTAACATACAATAGAATTAATATCAAATGGAATACAAGCTAAAGGTATAATTGAAATTGTAGTATTTAGGATTCAAGTTATTTTTTAAATCTCAAACAATCAAAATTAAATACTAAGTCATAATCATAATAAAATAAAAAAAATCATAATCAAAATTAAATACAAACTCAGAATCATAATAAAATAAAAAGTCATATTCAAAATTAAAATTAAAAATTAAAAACAGTCAAAATACCACCAAAAGAACAGTCAAATTAAAAACAGTCAAAATTTAAAGTTTAAATAAACTCAAGATTAAAATGTTATAGTTAAAATGTAATTACCCACTAACAGATTTATTTGAACACTATTTATGTTAAGAGTCCCATGTAATAGGGGGTGAGCCTATTGCCATATACCGGGCACAATTCCAGAAATGATGAAGTACCTAACTACCTAAGTACTTCCATCTCTGTCTCATAGGAGTATCTATAACACTCTATAAATTAATATTCCTAAGAATACATTTTGATGAGGTCTTCTGAAAGACCTCGTCAAAATCGGTTCAAACTAATGATGAGATGATCCCGGACAAACATACGTATAAGTACAGGTCAAACTGAGAACCTTTTTCTTTTTCGAAATGGGCTAAAAAGGTTTAGTTGATGCAGATAAAGTTAGTACTTACTCCACATGGGTGAAAATAATTAATTGTAGTTATAAATTCCCATACACTCGTTTATGCACCTTTAACCATAGGTACAAGTTGTTTTAACACAATAATAAATACACGCAGAGACTGTTATCTAATTAATCAATAAACTGATTATTGTCTGCCACTATAATACGGTTGGTAATCACTTAAGAACTTCTTCATCAATATTTTATTCTAAAACTGGGAAATTGCGTCTTAGTTCAGGAAACAATCTGACAAGGTACTCCCCACGTGAGCAAAACAACGTTTATCCGAAGCGCCAATAGTAGGTCACGCTCACGCGGTCGCGTGTACACTGCACGTGCAAGATCGTCGACAACTCGCCACCTACGTAAGTACGTACAGTCGTACTCTCCCCCCACTTCCCCCGCCTCCCATGATGTCTGACGTCCAACTGCTATTATGTAGCTACCAACGCTAGAGTAAAACATGAATGGCAACGACTAATTTTTAGACCCGTTATATGTTTTGCAAGGCTTCAAGACAGGGACTGTAAGTACCAACTTAAAACTAATACAAAATACGAATATAGGCGAATGTAGACAAAACGTTGACTAAGTAACACACTAAAACTGAACTCACAAATTATTTATGTTTGATGGACTCCGTTAATGTTTTTGTTATCATTACTCGTTCGTAGCTACATACCGTAACTTTTGTCCATTCCAATTTCCAATACCTACATAATTCTTATTGCAATCACAACGTTCTTATTTGCCCGCGGTTCAATTTACGTGTCAGGCTTAAGATTAATGGATTTTGTAGTGGTGAAAGGATGAAACTGTAACAAACACTATAAATGTGATATTCTTATACAAAAGTCATTATTTCTATGTTGCATTGTTTATATTTTTATTATAAAGAGCTTTATATATCATAATTTTCATACATTCTCGTTCAAGTAGGTAACGGAGCCATTTTCATTTCTTGATAAATACTTTTTGATACAAGTATTTTATTAATCGGTTAAGTATGTCGTATAAGAGGCAATTTGTTGTAAAAGGAATATTTGTTTTAAGTTAAGAGGTTTCGACAAAATGAAAAAAAACGGTAGTGGTCCGTTTTTTTGCTCCCAAATGCACCTAATATTCAATGTTTTTGCAAGTCCATTTTGTCAAATATTTTATTTTCTTGTTCGAAACTAATTCCCATTTTTTAGTCAAATTCGTGTTGTTAAATGTAAACAGACTTTTCAGCAATGAATTAATCTACATTGTGCATAACATCTTTACTAATATTATAAATGGGAAAGTGAGTTTGTTTGTTCCACTTCACGCCATAACTACTAAACCGATTGCTTTGAATTTTTAAAGACGTAAAGTTAGACGTCCGGATTAAATAATAGGGTATTTTTATCTCGGATAAATGTGATATTCCCGAGGGAAAACAAAAGTACTGGTATAGATGGCGCTGTGTGTATTGGTATATGTCACATAGGCTACTTTTTATCCTCTTGTGACGCGAGCGAAGCCGCGGGTAAAAGCTAGTACCTAATAAAAATACAAGGAGAAGGAGAGAAAATTCAAAAGTTCTTTGAATAAGTTCAATTTCTGTTTCTATAATACGTTTATTACTTAAATGGTATTGACGTCGTATGACATGGTTGACGAAGCACGTGTTTAACCTTTTTTTAATCCAATCCGTAATGAAAGGGGAAGATGTTTGGCTGCCCTAAAAAGGGGAGTCAACGTTGATAAATCTATTTTAAGATATTTCTTTTTCTCTTTCATTTGCAATCGGTCACCTGACCATAAGCGTATTAGTTCAGAACAAAATGGCAATTTTATTATCCTTACTAATATTATAAATCGGAAAGTGAGTTTGTTTGTTTGTTTGTTCCACTTTCACGCCGTAACTACTAAACCGATTGCTTTTTGCAGATGTGAAGTTAGAAATCTGGATTAAATAATAGGGTACTTTTTATCCCGGAAAAATTTGATATTCTCGAGGGAAAACGAAATTATTTGTATAGATGGCACTGACGCGAGCGAAGCCGCGGGTAAAAGCTAGTAAGAGATAATAACCAAGTTATTTTTTTATCGCTTGAGTAGGTATTCTGTGAATGTTTTTCCATTCACGGGATCGTAAGATTCCGATTTCTTAAAATCCAAATAAGCACTATAGCGCGTAAGACAACTTTATAGTGGAAATGCAGCCAAAGGTTATTCCTGTCCTGCCAGTGCCCCTTTACATATGTATACGAAACTATAAAACATGAGGCCATGTTTTTTTAAGGGAGAAAAAATCATCCTCTTACTGATTAAAAACTACCCCTTTCCTATTTGTGCTTCGAGCTAGAGCCCCGGCATCCAGTTGAGTCTTCCGCGGCTCCTGATCGGGCATCAGCCTTACTGGACCCCATCTGTGGTGTTTTAAGGAGGTATTCCTCGTAGCGCTCCCGTTTTGAAGCGCTTCCATCTAAGCGCTCCCGTTTTGTTCCTCCAAGTGCTCCCAAAAGGAGCGCTTCGAGGAACAATTACAAATATTAAAAATTATTTCCTCAAAGCGCTCCCATGATTAACTTTCGGCTAGAGATAGGACTATACCTACTAATTGAAATTATCGATAATAACTAGGTAATAAGTAGAACAAATTGTTATAATATACAACTAGCGGCCCGTCCCGGCTTCGCACAGTTTGGTAATTATTAGAAAGAAGAAAAAAAGAAAGAAAATGCATTTATTTGGCCATTGGCACACGAAAACAAGGATCATTACAATACAAATAAAAAATACAGTGAAAATAAAAACAAAACATTATCTTTTTGTTTTGTTGTAAATCATTTAGTAAAAAGTACTTTAATTAATAAGAATTTAAAATAAATAAATATAAACAACTTAAAATATAAATAACTAAAATATGTAAAATAAGTAATAATAATAAAAATGCAGTTCGTTCATTACTGACTGCACATCGGATGCATCACCCACGATCATCGATAATGAGACTACATTCCACGCAAATGTGGGATGAGGAGACTTTTTAAATGCAAAAACCCTTCACAATAGTGAAGTGTGCAGTCTCCGGAAGTATGAAAATGGACGTGGGGAAGCATAGAGATGTTGTCGCTGTGGACAAAGGGCGCTCCGCTCGCTCTCCTTGGCTAACGAGAACGGGAGAGAACCTATAATAACCTAAGCACTAATGATCGCAGGAATGTGTGGGAAAGTAAGGAGTTGCACGGACGCTACTATCGGGCCTTACATGGGCCAAATACGGATTTCTTAGCGACCGTATCCTGGCTACGTTTCAGTAACTTATTTGGAGAAACGGAAGGTTTTGTCTGTGCAATTATGGACGAAGTTATGTTGACGAACAACTATCGAAGATATATTATAAAGGATGGAACTGTTGACATTTGTCGGGCATGTCATCGTCCCGGGGAATCCATCCGGCATATAATTTCGGGTTGTTCTCACCTAGCTAATGGAGAATATGCAAGTAGCATAGACATAATCTTGTAGCCAGGATTATTCATCAACAACTTGCTTGGAAATATAAACTTATAGAATCTGAAATGCCGTATTATAAATATCTGCCTGACCCAGTTCTTGAAAATGGAGATGTCACACTGTATTGGGATCGAACTATCATTACAGACACTTGTTGCAAATAAACCTGACATTGTGGTGATGGATCGACCAAGCCGTCGTACAATGATAGTTAATATAACAATGCCACATGACGAGAATTTTATGAAAGCTGAAAAAGATAAAGCAAATGAATATCTTGATTTAGCTCATGAGATTGTCGACATGTGGAATGTGGATTCAGCAGTCATTGTGCCGATAGTCGTATCTGCCAATGGCCTCATTGCTAAAAGCCTCAACTGACATCTGAGTAGGCTAGCGTTAGATGGTTGGGTCAAGGGCCTGACATGGCGCGTATTATCCGGAAATTCCTTTCTCTGGAGCCCTGACCACCAGCTTGGATTTCTCCCATTACTGGTGGGCTACTGCTTTTTATATTTTTAAATGTTTTTTTTTATATAATCAAATATTTAAAAACATATAAATCAAGTATAGAAATAATTAAAGGAAATAATAAAAATCTACCTTAAAGCATAAAAAAAAAATTTCCTTTTCGCTATCGTGAGGTAGGGTGCCCAAAAGACTGGCAGCATTGCCACATTGAATGGCAATGGCTACTACCTTTGCCCAAGGTAGTAGCCAGCCCTTCGATCACCTGAAGTGTCAACCATCCTCCTTACAATATCTTTGTAAGGAAGATGTGCACTTGGGCCCTACGGCCCTAAAGTTTCAACCCCAAACGGTTTGAAAGCATAATTGCCAATCAGGCTATTATACTTTCGCCGTTTGAGGTTCTCAGCAGCAGTGGCAGCACCGGCTCGACACGCTTAGCTTGGAAGATGGGATGGCGCCAGAGTATCCACGCAAGTGGCGTCCCATACTAAAGGTCTACCCATCTTTCAAGGGTATAATGATATAACGTCGGGTACCTTGTGTCTTCCAAAAAAAAAAAATTACTGTGGCTGTAAGACTGTTGCCTAGTTTATCACAATATTCATTCATGATTATTATTAAGCCACTGTATAATAACTAAGATATATTAAAGCAAATAAGCGAAGCCACTACCATTTTTTCTTTGTTTTTATTTCTTGATAAATATTTTCTGATACAAGTATTTTATTAATTGATAACATATGTCATACAACAGGCAATTTAGTTACCTTAAACCCGTTGTGTGTCTAAACATGAAGACACAATGTATTTACTATTGTGTCCCATATCGGTGCATTAAAGCGGTTAAAATAAGAGAATGTAAAAATAATATTTTTAAATTACAAAGGATTTCATAAAATAAAATAAAGCTAGTAGCTCTATTTCTTTGCTACCAAGTGTATATCAACCCTTATAGGTTGTAATTTTATTTTATATGCATACATAGAAAGTCAGTATGGTGTTGGGCTGTGGGCCAAGGTTTTAAGATGTCCATTTTTCATACACGAGTGTGCGAGTTCAAATATACAAACGGTATGTACCAATGTGACTTTTACAGAATTATAATTATATAATATGTAAGATTATTTAAACATCTATGACAAACATCGTGAGGAAACCTAGGCTTATAATGATTAGACAAAGTTTAATCTGATTAATGCTCAACCCTTGTCCGTTTGAGAAGAGGTCTTTGGTCAGCAGTGGAGAGTAATAATAGGCTGTTGACAATAATATTTATATATAAAAAATCCTATAAGAAGCTAGAAGTTGTGTAATGTTAAATGTTTTATTTGATATATTATTTACCATATAGATATTAATTCTTTGGGTGACACCATCATTTCGTAGTGTAAAGTTGTAAAGTCAACTATTCGGTCAGTACTTAGGTATCCTAACGGGTTTCTATTCTTATCGGTCGCAATTTCAATTTTACATAGTAGTTTAATTTGGAATCTCGGTCAGTGGGTATCCTTAGGGTCTATAAAATTTCATCCCTATAATACAAGTTCGATAAATCGATAGAAGTACTTACCGACAGCGAATAATTAGTTTTCCAATATAATTAACTTAGTTAACAAAATGAACTGCAGTAGTTAACCACTCACTTTTTTATAATTCTCAAGAAAAACTATCAACTAATTTAGAAAAAAACATTGTCTGATATCGCATACACATTAGTTATTTAATCTTCTTTCGTTCTTTGAAACTATTTCAGATAAAATAAATACAGTTATGTTTACTATGTTTATGACAGACTCATAAAATAAATTGACGTTATTGACATTGACAGTTTGTAAGTTAGTTACTGTCACTGTCAGTGTGTTTGTCACTACCAACTAGTGTTGTAAAACGACCGATATCTTGAAGTCACTTAAAATCAGACTGATTGTTCTTTATTAATCAGTCATATCGTACATAAGTTCTGTTATTTTAGTTAGTAATATATCATATGTTTATGAAATACATGCATATAACATAATTTATATAACTACATAATATTTACAACTAAACTATTAAGTAAAACGAAAGTAAAAAAAAAGAAAACATCAAAAATTATACCCTTAATTTAGGCGTCAAAGTATTCGTCCGCATCACTATCACAGGGGAACGTTGGGAACGTTCCCAGAAGACTGGCACCATTGCCACGTTGAATGACAATGCTTAAGGGCCGGACGCGAGAGGTCGCCTTCGCCGATCACGTCCCTGAGGGCACACGGATGACACTTGGGCGTTTCCTCCCGCCCTATCAGACACAGGTACCTCCCGAAGCTCCCATGTCCGGTGAGGAGCTGCGTCAGGTGGTAGGTAAGGACGCCGTAGCGTCTCACAAGCCACTCCTCAAAGAGGGGACTTATTGTTGCGACGGCACCCAGCCCAGCCCTCGGTTGCGACAGTTGTTGCTGCCATTCTGCCTTGAGATCGCGCCGGAGCTATTCCCGCTACACAGTAATCTGGCGCGGCAGTGGAGTTTCGCCCCGGCAACGTGCCTCCACGCGCATGCAATACACGCGTGCCTTCGCCTTTAGATCCCACGGCGGTAATCCGGCAAGGAGGTTCGCCGCCTACCCGGACATCGTGCGGTATCCGCGGATCATTCGGATCGCCATGACCCTCTGTGACGTCAGCAGCGCCCGAGCGGAGCGCCGCATCTACGGCGCCCTCAGAGGGGCGTCGTAGAGGGCCATGGACCACCCGACCCCGTCATATAACATCCGGCTGGCCCCCCGAGGTTGGGTAGGAGGCGCTTAAGCGCCGTTCCCATCCTCTCTAAATAGAAAGTGTATAAAATATTGCTTTTTCAAATAAAACACGTTGAAGTGACCCCGATAACCCGTTAGGTTCTCCGCGACATCGGTATCTTACATAGACTGTCTAAATCTAAAGGTAGCAAATCTAGATCTGTGTTAAACTCTGTGGGTGGTTTATGTGCACATTCCAAGCAGGGTTGCCAAAGCTAATTCATCAAAATCCCCAAAATTCCTGATCGAATTCCCCAAATTGGGGAATAAAAATTCGCTGATTCCCCACAAATTCCCCTCAAAAGTTTTTTATAAAATAAAACTATAATCAATTATTTAAATAATATTGATTGTTTTAATTTGAAACTGTTGAGCTTCTAATGGATTTGAAACAGATATAATAGAAAATAAAGGATCTCGGAAATCAAATATCTTAATAATGTCCGACGTGAATTCCATATAAAATTCTTAGCATGTCTTATAGAAATCTGCAATAGCTGCAAAATGTACCTCGATTTTCATATTTTTTCAAATCTTCCATATTCTCTACAGCTTTCATGCTTTATGATTTAAAAAAATGTTGTTATCGATAATAAACGATGAAATATTTTCCAATTTGTGTCAAATGCCAAAAGATGTCAAAATCCCCGCATTTTCCCCACATAATGCCAATCCCCAATAAATCCCCAACCAACTTGAGATTCCCCGCAGTTTGGGGAATTCCCCACAGTTTGGCAACCCTGATTCCAAGCAACTTCAGTACTTCACTGTCATTGTCAATTGTCACGTTGACGTTCAGTCACATCCACATCAGGGCAATCTGCGCATCCTCGCTTATTTGCGTTTGTTTAAATATAATTGAATTGAAAATTTAATCAGAACACATTATAAACAGCAATGACAAATAACTTTAAAGGCTTTGATAAAAACTCATCAGATGAGGATTCATCTAGCTACAATGATTCTAGTGAAGGTGATTTATCAGATAATAACGATGGTAAGTCGCGCGCGTGTTGTTCCTGGGATAACCTTAGTTCGGCTTGAATTCGACAAATAATATAAATAATAAGAAAACTTGTGTGTATGTTTCTTAGTCAAAGCGGCTTGAGATGAAATTCCTAACGTACCAACACATACGAATAGTATCGTATTTATAACAACATAACACGTACGATACTATTTATTTCACGGGAACGCGGGTGAAGACCTGGCAGAAGCTAGTCCTCCACCATCTACTAGCACGATGAACTATGTTTATTTGCCAAATTGTTTAAAACTAATAAAATAATCATGATTTTAAATACTCTTTTGATATAGGTGTAATACTTTGTTTTTACAGATTCAGACCAAAATGAAATGAGTGAAGATGAAACCAGTGAAAATAAAGTGGAAGAGGAAGATGATGATGATGATGATGAAGACGAAGTTGTTAAAGCAATAAAAGCTGAAAAAAACAAACTCCGAGATCATCCTCCAACTATAACATGTGAAGATTTTATTGTTGATATATCACTTCACCCATCGAGAAATTTAATAGCAATTGCAAACATTGTGGGAGATGTATTATTATATGAATATAACAATGATGAGACAAAACTACTGAACACATTGGAACTTCATCTCAAAGCTTGTAGAGATATTGAATTTGATAATGAGGGAACCACCTTATATTCAACTGCTAAAGTTTGTATTGTTTTCATACTTCCACTATAGAATTGGCTTATAATCCTAATGACCTCTGACTAAATGACAGCGTACTAAATACTGACAAAGGAGTCAGTTCAATTCCTGGGTAGTAAAGGGTGTTGAGACTTTGGTTCGCCATTTTACTTCTAGTTTATTGTTTAATACATCCATTTTACATGTAGTATAAATTAACCTATTTCAATTAAAATATTAATTTGCAGGATAAGACCATAATGGCTACAGATGTTCAAACAGAAAAACTAAAGAGATGTTATGAAAATGCACATGATGAACCAATATATAGACTTGTAAATCTGGACAATAATAAAATTGTTACTGGTAGCTTTCTTTTTTTCTTTGCTATTGATAGCTTTCCTGACATGAAATTAATAAATTATTTTATAATTCAGGTGATGATGGAGGTACTGTCAAGTTATGGGATATGAGAAAACCAGATCCTATATTTAATATCAAAATTGGTGAAGAACATGTCTCTGATATGATAACTAATGATGCACAGAAGTATTTAGTTTGTGCAAGTGGAGATGGTGTTCTCACTTCTATTGACCTTAAAGGAAGGTAAGGATATGAAAATTCAGACATACCAAAACTTTTATCACTAAATAAATGTCTTCCTTGATTTATCCTCATACTACCAAAATAAATCAATTAATAATTCTTCTTGTTTCAGTAAAATATTCACCACATCAGAAGAATATGATTCGGAATTAACGTGCTTAGGACTATTTCGATCCGATACTAAGTTACTTGTAGCTTCATCAATTGGAAAATTATATTTATTTAATTGGAAAGAATTTGGACTTCACAGTGATGAGTATATTGGACAAAAACATGCCATCCAGTGCATGGTACCTATTACACAAAATATAGTAGTTACATCAGGTGAAGATGGCGTACTGAGAGCAGCACACATGTTCCCACAACGTCAGCTGGGTGTAGTGGGCCAACATAGACTTCCTGTTGAACGTCTTGACATTAGCCATGATGGCCAATATATTGCTTCATGTTCACATGACAATGATGTAAAATTTTGGAATATATCATACTTTGAATCAATTGATTCGATTATAGATGTTAATCATAAACAAAACAAAAGAAGAGACCTGAGTAATAACTTACCATCAAGTAGTATAAAAAATGCTTCAGACTTTTTTTCTGGTTTAGCTTAATATATATCATTATTGTAAATTTTTGTTTCATTGATATCTATACTAATATTATAAAGAGGAAAACTTTTAAAACCTGCATCTTTACTGAGCAACGGCTAGGTACTCGTCGTCATCATTCCCCCAAGTCGCACTATAGTCGCAATCTACCTCGCGCGGACGAGTGAAGGAGAGTTAAAATACCTAAGTAAGGTAAGTGACAACCTGTCCCCTTGATCCCAATGGTGAATTTAGTGGCCAAAGTTAGACAATGTCTGTTTGCAGACAACACTAGCAACACTAGCGAGTAATGTACAGAAAATATTTTTGTAAGAGATTTACAATTATGAATTGCTCTGACAGTAAACGACATATATTATTTCGGTTCATTCACATCTTCCTCAACACATATTTTCCCCCAATTAAGATGGGCATCTTTTTTCGTGGAAGATAGGAAGTAAAAGTTTCATTTGTCCCTGAAATATTTTTTATGTCATCGCATCATCACAATCGTGCTTTATTTTATTCAAACTATACTTATGGTATGAGGTATGTGGAATAAGACAAAAAAATTCTTCCTTTCCGAAGTTTCCCATCCCATTTTGCCCATTTTAAGGATAACATGTGGGAAGATGGGAATGAACCTTCTTTCTTTCTGGTAATGAAGGTCAAAATCAAGAATCACTTGCGCTTGAAATTGTTTTTTGTTTATTATTGATATTTCACATTGTAATACTTAACTAGAGACTTAACTAAAATTAAAATATAATTACCTATATTTTAAAAGAACATAATAATAATCGCTACATTTTTCTAACTTTAACCCGTCGTTTGTCTAAACGTGGATCCACGCGAGACAATGTATTTTCTATTGTCTCATATCGGTGTATTCAAGCGGTTAATGTCTATATAAATATTATCCTTAATAGGGTAGATGACTAACTTTTATTTTAATCCCCGTCTGGTAGGTTATAAAAACATTGACTCGTATTTTTATTTTTTTTACGGAAACGAATAATTTCGAAGATATATTGATTTGAAATGTCGCGTGACGTCACTTCCGTGAGCAATTTGATTATTATATCTGAGTATCATTTTATTACATAAACAACGGACGACTGACGGACTAATTACATTTTTAATTTGCATACCCTGTCATCATACCTATTTCAAATAATCCAGTTTCATGTTACAATTCTTCATGTTTACTTTTCTTTCTGTTTGGAAATGCCCAAAATTCGGATGGTAAACCTCTTGCATCTCTTTCCCTCTTTACAAAAGCTGAGTAAGATGATACACAATTGCCTATAAAGTAATTCGCCTGGCCAAGAATAGCTAAGTCTAGATGTGGATTTGATGGCTGTAGTTTAATAGCTGTAACTTCAGAATGATGTATTGCTTTGTTCAAATCATTTATCATATGATTGGAATCCGATGCCACAAAGATGAACTTTACATTTTCCAGTTTCTTGAGTGCCCTCTTTACTTGCCTAAAAATTTAATAATATTATTAGTGGGTTTAACAAGCAAATAATCTACCTATCTAACATAATATAACATCACGCCTTTTATCCCCGAAGGGGTAGGCAGAGGTGTACATTATACCACTGTACAATGTAACACCCACTTTTCACTATTTCTGTTATGAGTCCCATGTAAAAGGGGGTGAGCCTATATCCATATACCGGGCACATTTCCAGACTCCGTGCAGTAGCACGGAGTCTGGAATTGTGCCGAATTGTGCCCGTAATTTTTAAATATTCTCAGTAGTAACTGAGCATATTTAAAAACCCAGTAATACTTTGCCCGACCCGGGAATCGAACCTGAGACCCCTTGCCCGGCAGTCACACTTACGACCATTCGGCCAACGAGGTAGATCTACCTATCTATACTTAGTATTTAAAAAATATTTTTATAAAGCTGAAGGATTTTTATGGGATAAACCGATAAACGAGCGGTCGAACTACCGGTATCATTTGTGGTATTTGGTGGAATACCAGAGGCATTATAAGTGCTTTACCGACCTTTTGGGGATTAAGAAATTGGAAAAATGTCGGGATTCAGAGATTGGGGAGGGGGGGGGGGTTACTAGTTGGGCCTTCGGTCACCTCATTTACACGACGAAACACCGCAAGCGTTGTTTCACGTCGGTTTTCTGTGAGGCCGTGATATCACTCCAGTCGAGCCGATCGAACCATGGCTCTCCCACACTTAAATTAGTTTGATAGCACTAATCTCGAGAACTGATTCGAATTGAATCATTATTTTTGTGTTGTAATTTATTATCCAAGGAGGCAGTAAGTAGCGGTGACACTGCGTAGGAGTAGCTAGGTACTTATGAATAAAATGTTTCTAAAAATTATTTAGCATTTATCTAATTAGTTGAAATAAAATAAGAAAACTAAACATTTGTATAATTTCATACTTTCTTTTCAATGTGTCAATGATGGGATCAGGTAAAGGTGTATTTTTATTAAACTAGAAAGTACACAATAAAGTCTTACTTGATAATTTCAGACGGCTGGGGTAGGCACATAGACAATGTAAGTGGACCTCTTTCATTTTTATAACCAACACATTGAGGTGCAGCAAACAGCATAGTACTATCTTGGACATGCTGACATGCTTTCACCCAATCCTGTCCATTCCTTAAATGTATGCCCAAAAAGGCACCACCACTCATATTCTTCTTTATAAATATTCTAGCTTTGCTAGCTATATCATCACTCCATGTAAGATATTTTTGTAAATGAACATTTTCTTTTTGTACTGGAAAACTCGCAGGTGCACCTGGAATTTATGTACAAACAATACAATTTGCGTACATACGCCTTCCACGAAATATCTGGCCATGGTTCGTAATAGGCGTTCCTGTTACGAACCATGGTAAAAATTTTCGCAGATAGGTGAATAGGTTATTATTGCTGGATAGGAAATATCGTCGAGTTCCTCGTTTTTTTATTTTTCATTATTTATTATATATATAACAACTAATTAATTTAGAATGTCTCACGAAAGTTATAATATGCACAAACATCTAGACTAGTCCGGTGTTGCAGGCTTGCAGGTATTCATGGGTGGCACAAAATGCTTACCATGAAGTGATAAGGCTGCATGTTTGATGCCCTATCCCATAAAAAATTACATTTACACTGGCTGACCCTGCTCTTAAACTTAATACTCCTTGAATAGTAGTCACGCTTGCAACCAGCAAATTAGTTAGGTAGCCAATGATGTTAAAACAATACTCACCAGTAAAAGCCAAAACTGGCCATGTTGTAGAAGGATATTTATCTTTCCATTTGTCTATCATTATTTTGTTATGGGCATCATAATTTAAAGGTCCGTAAAATTCAGAGTCCACAAACTCAATATTAAAATTATCCCAGAAAGGCCCAAATGGGTTACCAGACTTGGCATTACAACTGTTTTCTAGTTCACCCATTCTTTGCGTGTAACAAAAAGAAATCCTTTTAAACTTTGGCCAAATATTAGGAGCCAAATCTTTCATGAAGTACTCCATTGTCATCACATTGTGATATTTTTCTAAGTTTGCTACTTTGAAGTATGTATCAAATGGTACTTGAATAGATCTTGGTTCACCAAATCTGTATTCCACCCATGGAGGCAGAACCAAAGTTCTGTTGATAGCCTTACTGAATGCTAATGCTCCTAAAAAGTGATCTGCCTGATTACCAAATCTTCCTGAAAATATTTCAATAAATTTATGTTATAACAATACAACTTTCCAAACCCATTCTTTGCCCCGAAATGTTAACCCAATGAGCCAAAATATAAATAATAGAAAAGAAACATCATGATTAGATAAAAATATTTTTGCATTGTTATCCAGACAATCTATCTGTAATTCTACATAGTTATTACTTAATATTATAAAGCTGAAGAGTTTGTTTGAAAACACCTATCTCTAGAACTACTGAGTCGAATTGAATAATTCTATTTGTGTTGAATAGATAGCTGCCCTCAGCCTGGCCTTCATTCTCATGAGATAAAAAGTAGTGTTCCAAATTTCAACCTGATCTCTTTAGCCGTTTTGACATGATTAAGTACCAAACCTACACACAAACTCAAAACATTTATAATAATAGTCAGAGTAAGATAACCTTCCTTAATAAACACACTATCCAATACAAAAAGAATAATTCATTAAGATCAGTAGTTCCAGACACTAGGTACCGCGTTAATAAAATAAATTCTTCAGCTTTATATAATAAAGTAAGCAGGAGCATAAGATATAAGATGAAATAAAAGAAGCGAGCAGTGTAAATATTAATAATAAAAATGTGATAATAATCCACAATCCTGGAATTTACATCAAGGATTCACAGCAATTTTACTGGCAGTTCGCTCGTTGAATGTACTTCAACTTATTCAAAACGAAGTACAGCTAATACATTAACTTACCCATGCAAGGACAGTACAGAATGAAACCAGTTTTATCATCAGAATAAACACATGTAAAATTCAGAGAATACAATAGCATAAAAATAAATGTAGTAAACATTTTGTTAATTGTTGCTTCATCAAATTGTAACCAACAATTGAAACAGCGTTTAAAAATATTTCGTGAAGTGTTTCCTGTTCAGAAGCCAAAACAAAATGTAAAATAATCTACGATAAACAGCTAAAAATATCTATTTACACCATCAAAATAATACAGAAAGCTATTACAGGTAGATGTATGCGAAAGTTCATAGATGTAAACAAAATCATAGCAAAACCGGGCATAAAAAAGCAGTTGAGACAGTGACAGCTGCTGTCAGTGTCTCTACTACACTACGTCACAGACTACACTACGTATCTCTCTGTAAAGAGTATTTCTTTTAGTTTCCTTTTATTTAATATGTTCCATTTGCAAAGTCACATAACATCTAATATATAAAATTCTCGTGTCACAGTTTTCGTTGCCATACTCCTCCGAAACGGCTTGACCGATTTTAATGAATTTTTTGTGCTTATTCGGTATCTATGAGAATCGGCCAACATCTATTTTTCTTCCTCCTAAATGTTAAGGGTAGTCCACTAATTTTTTTTTTTAATTGTTTAATTTCTATTTTTTTATGATACAATACAAATACAACATACGAAAATACATACAATCCTCAATTTTCACCCTTCTACGAAATTATCTAAATGACAAAACAACGTTTGCCGGGTCAGCTAGTTAACTATAATAATAAAGAAATCGCAATAAGGAACCTTAGACTTGGCACAAATTTGTTATATTTCATTACCTACTTTTTAGCGATAAACTAGCAGCTCCATCAAAACTTGGCTAGTTTTTAACAGAATGTTTTTGATGGGATCAGAAATTACAGCATTACATAGTTTGGCACATTGGTACCTACTCAACCTTTTTTACATTCGACTCGACTTCGACTCTTACTGACTAAAAACCATCCCGTTCCTTCTCCTGCACGTCGAGCCAGAGCACCGGTAACCCGTTAGGTTCTCCGCGACTCCGAATCGGCATCGGCCCTGTTGGGCCCCATTTGTGCTGGTCTGATGGGTCTATGAAGCGCGCGTGGAACGCGACGCGCTGTACGCTTGGGTCTGTTTCTGGTCGGACGGGGAGTCACCCATGCTTACCGTCTGCAGGCCCAAAGGTTTAAGATGCCCGCTTCTCATTCATAAAAGTGCGGGTTCGCGACTTATTTGTACTTTCTAAGATTATTTAGACACGTCTGACAAACGGTGAAGAAAAATATCATGAGGAAACATGGGCTTACAATTTCTAATTCTAAGTTTTTGTGGTGTTAACCTTCCCCGTGAGAAGGACCTTTGCTCAGCAGTAGGCATTTATTGGCTGTGGATGATAAGCTTTTGTCTGAAACATAAGTAATTACTAATATGAACATGTTGACTACCTACATAATCAAATGCTTTATTTTAGTAATAAATAGCTTTCAAGACAAATATACTAAATGATCGATGGTGTGGGCCCTATTTTGTTTTGACGAGTTAAGGTACTTTGGTGTATACAATAAAATTTAATTTGGACCACTAGACCTACAAACAACAGACATTTCAGGAAAACTTCGGGGTTTGTGGGTAGAAATTCCTGAAAAAATTGCACCAGTCCATGCGCCAAACAACCTGTATAAAGCTTGAACAGGTTAAAAACTGCTAATCTCCATGTTTTATTGGGGTTTGACCAAATATCATGGAATGCTATAAAATATCTACAATTATTAGGAGCCGGGCTGAGCAGATGAAACTGCACAGTAGTTAGTATAATGTGGACTTATCTTAGTTATGAACTGACTTATGTTAGTATAATGTGTTGACTGGCTTATTTATAGGCTATAAAACATCATGTTACAATCAACAAGCACCGAGCAGAGTGGGTGAACCAAAATTGGTCTATATCCATTTAAAAATGTTTTGATGGAATGAAAATTAAATTAAATTTTAAATTAACAGACAAAACCTCTACAAATCAACCATAAATCTTACTAAGTAACAGTTTAAATAAAAAAAATATATGCAACTTTATACTAAATTTTTTATTTAAGCCTTAACAGCATAAACACGAGGAGGGAAAAGAGATTTCTTTCTGATTTCTTTCCTGGTCTTAATTTTAGCTTCGTGCTTTGTAAGGGCCTTGCGCATAGCACGAGTCTTCTTGGTCCTCAAGTCCAAAGGCTTGTACTTCTTGTTTTTATAGTGATTTCGGAGGTTGACCTTCATTTTCTGGTGGTACACAATGTAAACGCGGGCAATCGCCTTCCTCACCACCCGTCTAAAACAATACCAATTATATCATAACTAAGTGTTAAAATTAAACACATAATAGTGCTACCAACATTAATATAAACATAAAATCAATAACACTTTCACTTGGATGTTGGATTTAAAATTATTCTTTTATTTAAATGTGGAATAATGAGAAAAGTGGTCTACCAATCAAAAGATGGATGCAGAGTGAAAACTGGTATGAAAGAGAAAGAAGTGAGTAATATGTTAACATCAGATATGGAGAGTGGAACATTAGTGTATCTTACCATAATATTATGTTAAAAATACTAAATTATAACAATATAACTTGATAAATGTACTATCCTAAAGGTTCTACCACTTCTTACACAAAGATCTGATGATACTTATCATTAGAAGAGTTGGGAAAATGGAGAATTGAGAAATGTACAAAATATTGAACAGAAAAGTATGCATAAAAAATCTCAAAAATTTTAAGTTCATTACACGATAGATACATAACAACAGTAAAAATTAAATTAAATATCGTCCTATTGAACATAGTTCAAAATCTGAACCTGAAACCACTATCCTTTACAGGAACAGATATTTAGTGGAAGCAGTCGAAACTATTAAAAACTGAATAATTTTCTATAACAGAATGTGTAGTAAATAAAACAACTTACATTTTGGATAGTTTGGACGCCACTCCACCAGTTACTTTGGCGACACGCAAATTTGTCAGCTCTGTTTTCAACTCTTCGAGCTGCTTGAACAGCTCCTTTTTGTCTTTCGTGCGTAACTCGGAGCACTTAACCTTACCCTGCAAAGTAACCCATATCAATGGTTAGATTGGTCGCATCACTCCACTTAATTTTTTTACTATGATAAATAAGAGGGCACTACATTTTCTTGCTGCGCTTGAGACAATAAGAACACAATCGTAATAATAAAGACCAAAACATTTCAGATCAAAATATTTCATGTGTATGGACCGGTTTAATTTTAACTTTTGTCCGCATATGAACACAAAATAAATTATTGATGGGATTAAACGAAACACCTAGAAGCAGATTCCATAACTATAACTTTTTACACAATCGTGATGGATCATAATATAAAAGATGAGAAAAATATTCACAAACCATTTTGAAAACGTCTCGACTGGCGTTTTTGACGTAAAGAAAAGAATCAAACTGCGTAAGTGTTGGTGTTGCAAGTTTTAAAATTATTAAATGTCATTGTTACGTCAGAAAGTTCAGAAATGTCCACACAGTAAATCTATACTTCGCTTCGACTTTGCCTATCAATAATAATTTTTATCAGGTAGTTTTATTCTCATTTTACTGCAGTTTTATTTCATGTCATTAGCAACCATTCATTATTCGACATATTTCTTACTGATAAAAAGTGAAACACCACGTCAAATCTAACCTATATTATTATACTGAAAAAACTTTATCATACTATTAGTTTTCTTGTTGATCTAGCCTTGTTTTATATATACAATAAAAGCCACCAAATGTACATTAAATTTTTTTATGATAACTAACATCATTTGCTAAATTTGTTTTATGTTTTGTTAACTATACAAATGACGATTTACAATAGTGATGTATTTTATTTAATAACATATCGATAAGAAACTAACATATTTTTAGTTTGTATGTTATGGAGTCCAGTTGAGTAGAGTATCAAAATAAAGGGTCTGAAGAGACCATTTTGAAAATAAATCTTACAGAATAGAAATAAAAATAGGGATAGTACCAAAACATAATAATATCAATTCTTCATACAGTAGGTACTTTCATTTAGTTCAGTCTATGATTTGTACCACTAAATGTACAAAACTGAAATAATTTTTATGTTTTTTTTTTATTTTCACAGATTCCCTAAAAATGAAGTGCTGCGTCAGAAGTGGCTTGAAGTCATTGGGACGGAAAATACCAAACCTGGACTTAAAGCGCCAGGTATATGTTCATTACACTTTGCAGTATCATTCTTCAACTTCAATAGAACCCTTGATGTTATAAGGCTGCGTGATGATGCAGTACCGTCAATCCACCTTGTAGTAAGTGAAATAATCAACATTATATTGTTTTTAATTTCCCGATCAGCCTGTCGATTCGTCCAGTACTTTACTATCATTGTTTATCAAATTTAATATTATTAAATACCTGTACACAATTTGATGTTTATCTCTAGTAGTAAAAAATATGAGATATTAATAATCATTTCGATTAATAATAATAATAAAAAAAAATACTTTCAGCCTTCAAAAACAACACAAGGACTGGTTCTGCGTGAAATCCAAAATGTCGAAGAACAGTCGTCCTCCATGGTACCTCAACCAACCTTACCAGTGAAACATCTAGAAGAACAGGCATCCTCCATGAACACTCAACCATCCTTACCAGTGAAACACCTGGATAAGATTTATAAGGAGGTAAGTGTTTTTACAACCAACATTTGATTTGGAAAAAATAAGATGATGGCATTCATGGTGTCTGTTTTAATTTTGCTTTTCCAGATTGAACCCAAATCTTTGACTTCTGAGGAAGCGATACCGTAAGTTGCTAAAATTTTTCTAATTTGACATCTAAGTGCTCATGAATAGTGAAAAGTGCAGTTGTGGCAAAGTCTAACAGGCATTATTTTTAACTTATAATTAAATAATTATTATTTACTTACAATTTAGGTTAGACCCCCATAGGCAACTAAGGCCTCTTACAAAATGATAAAATAATACATAATTTTTCATTAAAAAAAACAAAGAAACTATAATACAAATCTTGAAAGACCACCAGATTAGTGGTCAGTGGCCCTGACTTATGCTGGAAGTCGTGAGTTCGGTTCCCAGCCCAAGAAAAATGTTTGTGAGATGAGCACGATGTTTTGTTCTGTGACCGTGTTACCGTCTGTTTAATCGGGTAGTACTAGGCCAGCGATGGCGAACCATTAGCACGCGGCAAAATAACAATGGTCGACTAAATTTTTTTTTTTTATGTAACAAGAACTGTTCTGCTTTAAATGGCTTTATTTTAATTCTCTTTGGTAGGAAATAGATTTAGAAAAAATTTGGCTGGTATAATTTATTTGTTACAGCCACTTTAGTTTTCATGAAAAATAGTAATACTTTACTTTCAATTATACTTGAAAGTTCATTTTTTTTTGTTCCGCTCCATTCGTAGTTATAAATATTTTATTTGCAGGTACATCATCAGCCATCTGTTATTCTTAAAATGCAAAAAATATGCTATAGACAGGAAAGAAAAATTAAGAGATTGAATGAGAAAATTCGTTGCTAAGGCAAAAAGATATCAAGTATGCAAGACATTATTATAGATTTAAAAAACAAAGTAATTATAAACACGGAGCAATCAATTTTGTTACAAGACTGTGCAGGTTCACAAGATTTTCTTAAACGGCAAATTTCTAAGTCCAAAGGCCTGCCTTTGGAAAGAAAGTACTCTGAAGAAATAAGAAAATTTGCACTAACATTACACTTTGTATCCCCAAAAGCCTACGACTATATAAGAAGAGTTTATAACACGTGTTTGCCTCATCCCCGTACCTTGACGAAATGGTACCAGAACGTTAATGCCGAACCTGGGTTTACCCAAGAAGCATTCGACACCTTAAAAAAAAGGTGCACCAGAGCGGCTCGCAAAAAGTGTTGTGTGCGCTATCAGTAGATGAAATGACTATTAGAAAGGGCTTGATATGGGATCCAAAGTCCCTAAAATATCATGGACGTGTCGAATACGGTCACAACGTAGACTCCTGGGATTCTTCAGAAGAAGCCAGTCAGTGTCTGGTACTTCTTTTGACATGTATAAATGGATCATGGAAATTGCCTATAGGATATTTTTTTGTGACATCGGTAACTGGAGAACAAAAATGCCTTCTTGTGGAAACTGCTATTAAATTAACGGAAGATACGGGGTGTATAGTTGTATCTGTAACTTGTGATGGGCCGGCAGCGAATTTTAGTATGTACTCATTACTTGGCTGCGACGTTTCTAGAAGCCAGGAACGCACAACATTTGTAAGTAGCCAGAATAATGTGATCCACGCCTTTATTGACCCGTGTCATGCAGTAAAGTTAATATGTAACACATTAGGTGAATTAGGGGTCTTTCAAGACCCGTCTGGTAGAAAAATCGAGTTTAGCTACTTAGAAAAACTTTTAAAATTACAAGAAAACCAAGGCCTTCATCTGGGGACAAAAATTTCAAAGGCGCACATTTTTTTCGAAAAACAAAAAATGAAAGTAAGGCTCGCGACACAACTTCTCAGTAATTCCGTTGCGGATGCATTAATGTTCTGCAAAACCGTACTGAAGCTCAAGGAGTTCGAAGAATGTGATGGCACAGTCAATTTTATAAATTTAATCAATGACGTGTTTGATGTTTTAAAACATTGGCTTTATACGAGCGCTATTTATGAGTGCTATAGACTATTTGCGCTTGCTAAAGCTTCCGCCAGGGGAATTATTGGTTGAATCCCGTCGGAAAACCAGTTTTATTGGCTTAATCGTGGATATCAAGAGCGCTTTAAGAATGTATGAGAATATTGTAGAGCAAAAAAAATACTTACAATTTATGTACAAAATAAGCCAAGATCATTTAGAGTTGTTTTTTTCGGAAATTAGGGCGAGAGGTGGATTTAATAACAAATCGAATGCTGTACAATTGCGGGCGGCGTACAAAAGACTTTTAGTTAGGGCAGAAATCAGAGACGGTGGTATTGAAGATTGTGTGCCTTTGGAGCAAGTCAACATTTTGACTTGTTCAAGTAAAAATCCCATCGAATCACTTAATGACTTAACAGACAAGAAACAATTTTATTTTATTTATTTTAAAAGACTTCATGCACATACTAATGTACAAGGTGGGCTTAATGCCTAGGGCATTCTCCTCCAGCCAGACCTTTGGGTGATGCAGAGACAAAAACAATGGTCGATGCAAGAAGCAAGCGTATTCAAGACTCAACAGAAATGCATAAAAAAAGGATAGTATAGACTTACATAAAATAAATTCCTATATAAACTTACATGTATATGACATAACAATAAACTTACACAATTATATTACATATACTACTAAGACGTAACATAACTATACATAGTATATTGATAGTTACGACTCTGCCAATCTCTTCAAAAGTAGCTCCCGCACCTTCCGCTTGAATGACAAACGACTGGGCACCATCCTGATATCGGGAGAGAGCGCATTCCACAGAAGAATAGACTGAATAAAAAAGGAGGAATGAAGAAATTTAGTACGATGTGTTGGACATTGGAGGAGGCGATTATTAGAAGAGCGAAGATATTTGCTGTGGTTTGCGCATGTATATTGGAAGTGAAAGGACAGATAATGAGGCGAATGAGGCGAGTCAAGAACAGAGAAAAGAGTGGTTAGCGCCCTTAGTTCCCTGCGCTGTCGTATGGGCAACCACTTTAATTGCAATCGGTATGCAGAAACATGATCATATCTACGCAGGTTGAAAACGAATCGGAGATCTGCATTCAGGTCATAATAACACACATCAGCATAATCTATAATAGGGAACAACAGGGCCGTACCAGCATTGCCTTGGTGTCGGACGGGAGCAAGTTTTTAACGCGATAAAGAGCCCGCAGCGATCCAGTCACCTTTTTGCTCACACTAATGACCCGTGCATGCCAGTTAAGATTGCTGTCAATATGTAAACCGAGGTCTTTGACGTCGCTAGTAAACGGAACGATCGCACCGTCGAAAAGGACAGCGGGTAGAGATGCAATGTCAACCTTACTCAGAGAACGAGAACTTCCTATCACAATCGCCTGACACTTCTTGGGGTTTACCGCAATGCCGAACCTTACCGACCAATTATTAATAGCGGATAAGTCGTTGTTAATTTTTGAGATGGCATACGGCAATCCGTCGAAGCTGGTCTGACAGTAAATCTGCAAGTCATCCGCATATAGATGGTTCGCACACCGAAGCTCGGAAGTGATGAGATTAATAAAGATGGAAAATAAGAGAGGTGACAGTATACCGCCTTGAGGAACGCCAGCCTTTAATTCGCGCCAGTTAGATGAATTATCACCGTGCTTGACCGCCTGCTGACGCTCCCGAAGATAAGAAGAGAACCATTCCAGTGACTCGCCCGAGACCATAAGGTGGGATAGGATAGCCAACAGGATGTCGTGACTGACCATATTGAAGGCATTCGAGAAGTCAACCAAAACCAGGACTGTGACTTTAGTATCCTCAAAGCCGGTTCTAATATCGCCAGTCACTTTAAGGAGGGCGGAAGTAGTGCTGTGGCTAGGTCTGAAACCAGATTGTAGAGGACTAATCAGTGAATTCCGATATATGTAATTAGAGAGCTGTTTATGAACACAGGCCTCGAGCACCTTGGACAGGAATGGGAGTATGGATATTGGACGGAATTGAGAGGGAAGGGTGGGAGAAGAGGCTTCAGGGAGCGGACGGACAAAGGCTCTACGCCAGAGGGAAGGGAAAGTACCGGAATAAAGGGAAAAGTTGATGACATGGGTTATTGCTGGTAGGAGGTGATCTAGAATGGTAACAATCATGCATCGAGAGATGTTGTCACAACCTACCGCTTTGGATTTGATTGAGAGTTACTACACCCTTAATGAGTTTTTTGATGACCAAACCAGCAAAACTTAACACTCAATGCATACCGACTCAATAAAAAATCATATTAAATATAATAATACATATACTACATACAATAATACCTATACATTATTAAGAAATTTATGTAAACACATAATTATTATAATAAAATAAAGATAATATTTTAATGTTTAATGAAAAAAACATTTCTTATGTTATAATATAATAAGTATTGATAGTAGTTTAATTAGATTATATTTTGCTCCATATGTTGCCGTGCCCTAGCCGGGTTTCATGTTGATACTATACCTCATGTAACACCAATTGTACATATGATATGCAATAAAAGAATTTGAATTTGAATTTGAGAGGATGATCTTTCCGACCTCAGTCGAGTCAACTGGAGCGAAGCGGATGACAATTCATAGAAATTGAAGAAGATCACAGCGAACTGTATGATTGTTATGTAGAACTTTTGACGCAAGATGTTGGTAGTTATAATGATAGTGTATTGGAGTAAATATCAGGCTTCGTCACACGAAAATTGTCAAAAACCATCAAATGCGACCTATGCTTGTCATTGTTGTGTGGTCCAAAAAATAAAAAGAGCCTTATTTATTTCAAATCAAGGGGCGGGTTGGTTTATTCATCTAACAGTGTCATAATTATTATAAAAAGATCGGAAAATTTGATTAAACAATGTCTCACTATCAAATGTAAACCAGAACTATACTATTTATATATATTTAAGTTTTTGGTAGAGCACTACGATAGCGAAAATTTATTTTGTCTTGAACCTAGATCACGACACTACTTATAGTATTATCAAAACTTTTACAGACATCCGATTTATATATTTTGGAAGAAAATTAGGTGAAAAACTATCCTTCAGAAACTATTTTAATAAATTAACGTTGTTTCGTAATGAATAATATCGATGTTCAGGTTTTACTGTTGTACCAGAAAGGGAGTCAGAGTACAATATATCTTAACTATAGCGTAAATTACATGTTTTCATTTGGTTTTTTCTCTATTATATACTACATTTTTCTAATTATCTTTACGTGCAAACAGCTTATTATGTCAAGATTCAAATTACCAAAATCAAATTGAAAGTAAATTTAGTTTTCATTTATCAATTTTGGGTATCACGGAATTTTAAAAAATGTTTCTTAATATTCAGTATAATTAGTGCTATCGCTGCAAGCAAATGTCGTGTGTGCGTCATGAAATTACTCGTGTTTCTGAGTAAAGCAATATTCCGCAAACGAATTTTGAATGCGCGTTAACTTACAGTTTCGAGTGTCGCTCGCCGGCCTCTTAGATAAATTTCACGGCCACTTTTAATTTTTATAAAATTAAGCTCAGTATCTGTTTTAGTTTTCAAAAGTGTGTCTTATTATCTCATTGAAATTAAGCAATTGGTTTTGACCTGATTGATGATTTATTATAGGTAAATAACTGTGCATTTTTCAAAATACTTTGTAGTTTTAATACCTTATGACCATAGAGCAACACAGGCCACCGGCTGACCAGAGCTTCCTGTGTTGTTTTATTCTTTTAACCCAGTTTTAGTATTTTTCCTAAATTGCGTAAAGTGGTCGCGACCGCAGTCCCATACAAAAGTGCTATGTTGTGGGAACCTAGCGGGGACTCAGGGCCCACGTCCCTTTTTTGCTACTGTACGTTCAATTCAGGAATGATGGCAGGCGTGAAGTTAGCCGCTAGCAACTTTAGTGCTTGTGTTCCTACTCATAAAACAATAATGTATATAATGTCAACAACAGCTGATAACAGCAATTACAACACATACTGGTATTTTTGAAACCATTTATTTTTACGAGCACACAAGCGCTTAAGTTCCTGTATCGGATACAGGTGGAAGAAACGCCCCGATGCCACCGTTGTGTGGACTATGCACCGACAGGAGACCGGTAGAGTTGTCCCATGTCCCCGTTTGGGCAGAGTATCGCCGTGTCCTCGTGAAAGCAATAGATGACAATGACCTTTCATGCCGGGCCATGGTTCAGGCTAGTGAACGTCGAACAATGGGCCATCTGGTAATTAACCGAACCGAGCTCAATCGTCAACAACATGTAATCCATGCGCTTCAATTTTTAAATGTCTGCAAGCCGTACGGGCCCAGCACGGGCGAAGCCCGCTTGCTAGGTCCGCGGGTAATTTTTGAAAAGGATGGTGTAGTCCTAAAACACAAAGGGCAACTGTCACTGAAGAACACATGTATGGTTTTAGCCAGTAAAAGTCTTACGTGCTCGCCCGCTCTACCCAGAGCGCGAGAAGTCATTCGATGATTTGTACCTTAAAAAAAACATCCAAAGTACCAGAAGATTTTTAATGTATAAAGCTCTGCTATCGATATCGATACTTTTTGGTTTTGACTACAGTACTTCCTTAGCAATGGCAGCCATTTTTAGGCCTCGGTTTCTAGCACAGACCTACTATAATATGGACCAGAAGTAATGATCTATAGCTTATTTGCTTATACAAATATATATCAAATCGACATAGAAATATGAAACCACACTTTGTCTCTTTTTAATCAATGAGTAACCTCGTTTGAAGAAAGAGACGTCATGTTGTTTGTTTATTCTCTGCCTGGCAACATTTCTACATTTCTGACAAGGTACCTACCTCGCGTGCCAGCCGCCATCTTTAGGCCGGATAGTTTTGTAGTACATCAGGTGTCAAGCGAACAACAACATTAGATTTGGATTGCGATTTTTAACAATAAAAACGCTCCCAATTTAATTGTTTTGTGCTGTGAGTGTCTAGTGGTGCGTATTTAATATGTCTACTTGTTCAATAATTCAGTGTGGGGCAAGGAAAAACCCCAATCAACCTCATTTGACTATGCACAGGTTAGTAGCCGTATTTTAAGAAAAAACTTTATCATACTATTAGTTTTCTTGTTTATCTAGCCTTGTTTTTAACCGACTTCAAAAAAAGGAGGAGATTCTCAATTCGACCGTATATATGCTTTTTTTTTTTATGTTTGTTCGCCGATATCTCCGTTGTTTATAAACCGATTTTGAAAATTCTTTTTTTGTTAGAAAGGAGATAGTTCCAGAATGGTCCCATGATAAGGAAATCAGGATCTGATGATGGAAGACCAGGGAAACCGAGGGAACCTTTTAAAAATTATAGGGGTGACTATGACTAGGGCATTTGTTAATTTTTTCATTAAGTATTAAAAACCACTACAATCTGATAAAGGTCTGGAGCCGATCTGATGATGGAGCCGAGAGCCAGTTGAGGGAACTCCTCAACGGTTAACAGTAGCTACCTGTGTTTGGGTTTGATTAATTTGTATTGATGAGGACTTTACACCTGAGTGGGGTGTAATTGTCAATAAGGGTCTGATGATGAAGTAGTACGATAGTTGAGGGAACTCCTCAACGGTTAACAGTAGCTACTTTGTGTTTGGGTTTGATTAATTTGTATTGATGAGGACTTTACACCTGAGTGGGGTGTAATTGTCAATAAGGGTCTGATGATGAAGTAGTACGATAGTTGAGGGAACTCCTCAACGGTTAACAGTAGCTACCTTGTGTTTGGGTTTGATTAATTTGTATTGATGAGGACTTTACACCTGAGTGGGGTGTAATTGTCAATAAGGGTCTGATGATGAAGTAGTACGATAGTTGAGGGAACTCCTCAACGGTTAACAGTAGCTACTTTGTGTTTGGGTTTGATTAATTTGTATTGATGAGGACTTTACACCTGAGTGGGGTGTAATTGACAATAAGGATCTGATGATGAAGTAGTACGATAGTTGAGGGAACTCCTTAACGGTTAACAGTAGCTACCTTGTGTTTGGGTTTGATTAATTTGTATTGATGAGGACTTTACACCTGAGTAGGGTGTAATTGACAATAAGGGTCTGATGATGAAGTAGTACGATAGTTGAGGGAACTCCTAACGGTTAACAGTAGCTATTTGTGTTTAGGTTGATTAATTTATATTGATGAGGACTTTACCTAGATGGGGGGGGGGTGTGATGGTCATTAAAGGTCAATGACGAAGTAGTATGATAGCTAATGGACTCCTCAATGGTTAAGAGTACCCACCGGTGTTTGAACTTGATTAATTTGTATTGATGAGGACTTTACACTGAGTGGGGTGTAATTGTCAATAAGGGTCTGATGATGAAGTAGTACGATAGTTGAGGGAACTCCTCAACGGTTAACAGTAGCTACTTTGTGTTTGTTTGATAATTTGTATTGATGAGGACTTTACACCTGAGTGGGGTGTAATTGACAATAAGGGTCTGATGATGAAGTAGTACGATAGTTGAGGGAACTCCTTAACGGTTAACAGTAGCTATTTTGTGTTAGGTTTGATAAATTTATATTGATGAGGACTTTACACCTAGATGGGGGGGGGGGGGATGGTCATTAAAGGTCCAATGACGAAGTAGTATGATAGCTAAGGGACTCCTCAATGGTTAAGAGTACCCACCCGGTGTTTGAACTTGCATAATTTGTATTGATGAAAACTTTGCATCCATGTGGGTTTTGTATAATATAATATATCAAAGTACTAAACTAAAAAGTATAAAATAAAATTAAAAAACTGCGTTTAAAAAAACCGACTTCAAAAACAAATGACAAACAAAAAGTAAAAACTAAAAAGGAAAAAAAAAACTATTAGTGGTCATAGGTACTTATAGCTTACACACCCACTGATAGGTTAGAAGTCGGTGCCACAAACCCACAATAAAATATAAAGTAGACAAAAGTCACAGCTTGTATAATCCATAATAAAATTGTAAACAGCTCAATAATGTTAGGTATCTATTAAGGTTTTAATGAATATATAATAATTAGGTAGGTAGGTTTAAAACTTGTGGCACCGACTTCTAACCTATCCTTGGGTGTGTAAGCTATAAGTACGTATGACCACTAATAGTTTTTTTTTTCCTTTTTAGTTTTTACTTTTTGTTTGTCATTTGTTTTTTTAATAACAAATCGATAAGAAACTAACATATTTTTAGTTTGTATGTTATGGAGTCCAGTAGAGTAGAGTATCAAAATAAAGGGTCTGAAGAGACCATTTTGAAAATAAATCTTACAGAATAGAAATAAAAATAGGGATAGTACCTAAACATAATAATATCAATTCTTCATACAGTAGGTACTTTCATTTAGTTCAGTCTATGATTTGTACCACTAAATGTACAAAACTGAAATAATTTTTGTTTTTTTTTTATTTTCACAGATTCCCTAAAAATGAAGTGCTGCGTCAGAAGTGGCTTGAAGTCATTCGATGATTTGTACCTTAAAAAAAACCCAAAGTACCAGAAGACTTTTAATGTATAAAACTCTGCTATCGATATCGATACTTTTTGGTTTTGACTACAGTACTTCCCTAGCAATGTCAGCCATTTTTAGGCCTCGGTTTCTAGTAGGTATGCACGCGTATTTTGAAGGTATTTCTGGTCCATATTATAGTAGGTCTGTGGTACAAAGAGAATGTAAAATTGCCAATGAGATGTCATTGCTGTTAGCTGTCAACGTCAACGTAAGGTAACGGACCTATATAAAAAAATAAAAAATAGGTATCCTGTGTCTGCTTCTGTCTTCTACAATCGTATCGTTTCTCGCATTCTTTAAAAATATCGAATAAAAGCTATTCGTGATTGCTGTCGTATAGTATTTTAATTTTACATTCAAAATATTTTTTTCTGCTGACCTATTATTTTAATACCTTGAAAAATAAATATTAGAGACCGGCGTGGCGTGGCTGTTAAACTTAAGTATTATCTTTGTCAATTTTTTATGAAAACTATCTATTATAGGTGAATATTGTACCTTACTCTTGTCTTATGAAATGAATGCTATTAACGGTTGTCTTTTCATTCTAAAACTTACATGTTCTTAATTATTGTTTCAGTCTGTTAGCATGAATGATAACAATGAAGTCTTCAGTATAAATTACAAAAAATCTTTACAATATTGGGCAGATATACCGCCTACGGTCGATGGAGTACTCGGGGGATTTGGATTTATTTCAAATGCGGATATAGAAGGATCTGAGCTTTTCCTGAAGTCTTTACTTTCCTCAGAGAATGCTCCTTTAAATAATGTTGCACTAGACTGTGGTGCTGGAATTGGTAGAATAACAAAATATTTATTAATACCACATTTTGAATCAGTTGATGTGGTTGAACCAGATGAAAAATTTATTAATTCTATTAAAGAATATGTGGGTGAAGTTGCATCAAAACTGGGCACACTGTACAAAGTCGGTTTACAAGAGTTTGTTCCTGTAAGAAAATATGATGTTATTTGGAATCAGTGGGTACTAGGGTACCTCACTGATGAAGATTTAGAAGCTTATCTCAAACGATGCAGGTGTATACAATTTTTTAATCTTTATGTGTGTTATGTACTAAAATATTTGAAATTGCAAATAAATATATTAAATTATTTTTTTTCAGAGATTCACTATCCGCTAATGGGATAATAGTTGTAAAGGAAAATGTTACTTCTTCTGGGAAAGTTGAAAAGGATTCTACTGATTCATCAGTTACAAGATCTTTTAAACAATATATTAAAATATTTAAGAAATGTAATTTGAAAAGAATTAAGCAATGTAAACAAGCTAACTTTCCAAATGGAATATATCCGGTATATATGTTTGCATTAGTACCTAATAATAAGGAAATAGAAAAATCTATGGATCATAGTAATTGATACAATAAATAATGTAATTATTTCATAATGAAGCTTTAATAAACATGCTAATATCTAACATACCTTTTTACATTATTATTAAATAAGTACAATACATCTAATTACATACATTTTGCAATTCGTGTACTACTTGTTTGAGACAGTGACTTGCCAACTGGCTGCTGCATAACATGTTGGGGTTTTCTGTATGGAATAACTTTTCGACTTGTGTTCTAGGTTCAGGTGTGATTCTTATGTGATTTCGATCGTAACAGCCATTTTGTATTATTTGGATGAAACTCCTTACTGCACACTAACTGAAACGCAACAGTATGGTAACATGCCCCGCTAGCTTTCCTGCATACGAAGCCGTCACCGCGCTGACGTCGCATTCCAGTTATACAGTATACTATGAGTCGCGCTGAGCCCGCTGCTATCTAATCTCAGTAAGTAACGACTGTTGCAACAGAGTAGCCGTTATAGCAGCGGTAAGAGCTCTCTTGGAGGAGTGGCTAGTGAGATGCCACGGCGTCCGAGCCTTTCACGCTTTGCGGACGATACCTGTTGCAAGAAACCCCCTAGTGTGACCAGCCGGAACATACAGTCGAGGTGTGCTCTACTTGGGCTGAGCACCACAGAATCTTTCTCTTATTGTTTTGAACATTTTTCCCCACATAAGGATTTTCTCCTGTGTCGTTGGTGCGTTTACAAACACAAGTTCAACAATCCGCTAATCACACAAAGAGTTGTACTGTGCGGGAATCGAACCCGCGCCACATTGCGCGGCAGCCAGTTGCTCAGCCACCTCACCAACCGTGCAGTCAATCCTATTCTCAGGGAAGCGATCAGCGGCGACAATCTCTCGCACCCAGCAGCACTGGCTTATGCCAGGCCATGGTCAGACAGCGGCGCGGTGACGGCATTCATCATGTCAATCGTGTGCTAACACTGCAAACATTGCCGTAACGTGGAAAACGTTATAGTTACGTGTCGTCAGATCGATGTTATAGGCGAGTTCATGATCGTTCTTTTATTTCGAATGGAAGCCAATTACATCATTTTGTAAAATATCTGTCTACTAGCTTTTGCTCGTCTATGATGAAGATCGGAGATAATTTTTTCCCACTCCACGAGAAATACCCCTTCGAGAATAACATGGCGTTATGTTTTGATAATGTAATATGAATTCGTACACGCTTTCGAAGTTTGGTTTTTGCAATGGCAGTTATTTTAGGTTTTACGTGGTACATACAAGAAAATTATTATAGCAAGTTCCTATGTGTGTGTAATGTGTAATTTGCAGTACATTAATATAGGTTTTAAGCGTCATATCTTCTAATTGGAGCCGTGTCTATATTATAATTGTTTATCTTGATATAGTTTCTGATATGTTCACGATCATTTTCAGTCAAGAGAGACCAACTCTCTAACTCCACCAATATTTCCAAACTCATACAACTTTGAATAATTCTGTCTACAGATATCATTGATAAGTAGTCAGATTGCATTATACGTAATTCTTTCAAATAAATCAGTGGATTTTTGTCTAAAATTTTAAACATTACGTCATCGGTAAGTTGTATTGCCGTCCCTATATGAATGAATTGTACATTCACGCAATTAGTGAGAATGAATAGTAATTGTTCTTCTGTACACGTGGACACGAAAGTAATTTTTTTAAGATTACGAAAGGGTTCAATTTCTAATTTTTTTGTAAATAAGGACGTATGCTGTATAAGTGTGCAATTATATAAAGTAAGACTTTCTAAAAAAGGGCACATTTGACTTATATACATAAGAGCATTTAAATCAATTTGATCGACATGTTCTAAGTGTAGATGAACAAGATTACAACCTTTGACTTGAAGAACTTGCTTTATTTGATCTGCATAAAAGTCGCATGACAACAACTTAAGCTCTCTGAGGTCTTGTAAACCTATTAGAACCATTAGATCACTTTGTAAAGTGTTGTGAAAAACAGTCATGCTTCTTATATAGGGACACATTTGAACAGCTAACTGTAATTGATTATTTGTTGCATAGCGACTAACATAAGTCTTTAAATGAAATGTTATGCCATCTGAATAATTAAGATCAATGTGCTCTAAAATCTTGCCTATCTCGTCACATCTACCTATATCTTCGATGTTTTTGCACTTCAAAAGCAACTTTATAAAACCTTCCATAGTCACAAAAGTTCTGTATAGCTGGATGCTTCTTAATTTTTTTATTTTCGCAACAATATCCATACTGTCGTTTGTAATACATTTTGAACAAGAGACGTCTAATTTTTCTAGAAGATGGCAATTATCTACGATGCATTGTAGTATGTTATTTGTACAATCATAATTCATAGTTAAACATTTTAAGCGATGTAGCTCTTTTAATGATTTAATAATGGCATCTTCCATGTCTGCCGTTTTCCAACCTCCGGATAATGACCCTAAGTTTAGGGAGACTAGTCCGTTAAGCATATATAATTTAGAGTAAAATACTGAACGCAACATCTTTGGAATAGTATCAATTGACACGATCGTTAAATTTTTTGTAAAAAGCACTTCAGCCATTCTTATAATTACATTCATTTGACTGACGAATTTCCCCATGTTGCGTCTAAATCCCAATGATTGCTTGGTCTTTTCAAGCAGTTCTGATAGTGCTCTAATAGTTTGATTTACCAATAAGTCGTGAAGCATCCAAGGAACGTTAATGTCTAAATATTCTCGAATTTTATCAATATTACGTGTTAGAGCTGATTGAGCTTCGTTGGTGTCACGTTGCGAAAGCATTACAATTGGTAGCATCTGTTGTTCAGCTTGTTGTGCTATCCAATCCCCCAGACCGCTTAATGCTAGCGTCTCCAACTTCTTAGGCTGCTTGTATCGTGACATATTCACCTGAAAAAAAAAACAAATTAAATAAAGTAACTTGTAATATACCTAGGTGCCTACTTATAGCTAAGTGGTGGGCAGAAAGGTATTATTTACTATCAGCTAGGCTATTCTGTAAGATGTCAAATCGGACTCTCGATCGCGGTCCGCTTTGTCATGTTTGTGAGAATAATCTCGACCAATGACGGGCGAGAATGCGGTCATCCTCACTTCGAGAGTTCGAATTGACATCTTACAGAATAGCCTAACAGCCATTACAGCCCATAAATGCGCTGCTTAGCCTCAAAGGCCTCTTCCCACGCGGAGAAATTTTTATATTTTTGTTAAAGCTATCTATTGAAATGAAACCTTGCCGATGTCCTGGTGCCAATTGAACGTCGAATTTAGGGACAGTTTGTATATTAGTATTGGTATGTAAGTACCTATAAGGTAAGTATGAATTCATTTGGGGGGAGGGGGGGAAATATCATCCAATGACTTCTTCCGCTTTGGGTGAGCGGGTGAGGCAAAGAGAGTGACTCTTACTGACTAAATACCGCCCCTTTGCTACTCCTGGATTTTGTAATACAATTCGATATCGAAGCTCGCAATGAGCAAAAGAACTAATTACCTACGAAAGTAAACACACTTGTTTTCGGTTCTTAACGCATAATAATTATAGTGGTCTTATACCTAATTATTTCTTGTAGGCGATTATCCTGGACCAGTTTTTTACAAGTGTATTTACACGTATGCATCACTTTTGTACCTAGACTATTCTGTGACTTTTATAATTCCGTTCTGTACACGATTATAAGTCAACTAATAAGAACAGGTGTATTTTTTTTTTTTAAGGGGGGAAAATCATCGAATGACTGCTCCCGCCTGGGTGAGGCGGAAGGGAGTGTCAGACTCTTACTGACTAAAAACCACCCCGTTCCTTCTCCTGCACGTCGAGCCGGAGCCCCGGTTACCCGTTAGGTTCTCCGCGACTCCGAATCGGCATCGGCCCTATTGGGCCCCATCTGTGGTGGTCTGATGGCTCTTTGAGGCGCGCGCGGAACGCGACGCGCCGTACGCTCGGGTCTGTTTCTGGTCGGACGGGGAGCCACCCATGCTCGCCGTCCGCAGGCCCGCGCTTACGGTGGCCGGAGATCGTCCCGCGATCCCCGACGCCCGGTGTGTCCTTCGCGATGGCTGGGTTGCGAGGAGGCAGCGCTTCGCTGCCTCACGCGTCCCGCCTCCTCCTTAGCTAGCATGACTGCTTCGCAAAAGGAGGAGACGGCATCCCAGTCCCCCTCGCTCCGCATCATGGCCTGCACTAGGCCCGGACGCGAGAGGTCGCCATCGCCGATCACTTCCCTGAGGGCACGGCGGTGCTCAGCCCACGCAGGGCATCCTCCCACTGTGTGTTCCACCGTGTCCTCAAGGCGGTCCTCGCAGTGATGAGTGATGAGTGCAGGTAGCTTAATATTCTTATTAAAATGTACGCAGACCTATTTAAGTACTAGGTTAGGTAGGTACTTAATTACCTATTTATCTACAAAAAGTTATGCACTGAAATGTATTTTAAATATATAATTAGGAAGGTACTCTGTAGTAACTTACCTCTGAAAATCAGTACTTAGTTGAGTCTGCACTGATTACGCGAGACTTCACAAGTGTGTTTATTAAGTTTGTATTTAATTTTATTCAATGAACTGCTAATAATTTCTAAGAAATCTATTGTTAATAAAAATATTGCCTCCTTACATTATTGTGCCGTATTATGAATAGTGTGAGATATTGCGCATGCGCACATATATTTTTAGCTTTGAAATAGAAACTGAAGAAGCGAAGTATGTTGCCATCCGAATGTTGGTACACCGCTACACTACCTACCTATAGACACAGATAACCCAGTAAATATAGTATATCATCAGTATTCGAGTTCGTAAAGTAGATAGGCAGAAGAACCTACATAAAATTATCGTGGCGTAGTCTGAGATTGATTTCATATAGAAAGAAAAAAAGAAAGAAAAAACATTTATTCAGCACCAGGCACGATGCAGCACAAATAAAATATAAAAAAGACAATAAAGGTGTGACAGTGGAAGTAATAAAAACATTGGGTTGAAAAATTAAAACAGAAGAATTAGAAGAGAGGCGCTGACAACATGCCTATGCTAAAAGGGTCACCCACTCAGTGTAAGCCAGGCATACAAGTCACCCAGCACTGATTTTCAGTGGGCACCCATGCAGACAAATACACAAAAAAAACAATGTAATGTAATAAGTATGTAGATACAATATAGGTATTCATTCACTTATTAGGGTTAGAGACACACTACATATGTCTAGTATGTATTGTCGGAAATGTATTGCTTACAAATGTAGGTATGTGGCCAATTTTTCGGATAAATACTGAAAACGCATAGGTAAATACCGAGTAAGTAATTAATATTGCAAACAAAAGTATTTATTTTAAAAGTAGGTATGCTTACATAATACATAGGTAACACAATATTTTACTGAGTAAGTATTTATCATTTTTACTCGAGTGTTTAAAAATATATATTATATATACGATAAATACCACTATGTATGTACCTAAATTATTAAAAATATGTATACTCAGTATGTCGACGACGACGAAACGAACCGTGTGTCGTAGTGCGCCAGAAGCGGTAATCCGAATCGCTAATCGGTATCACATTTTCTATGGTTAGAGCTACACAGGGTGCAGGATGTACTTACCATAGAAAATAAAGTTATACAACGTCAAGACTTTTACTAAAATGGTACATTTGTACATTGTAGAACTTCACTAAATTGCGAAGCTATGTAGAGGGTTTTAACAGATATTGTATCGTAAAAAATACATACACTATCGCATAGGTACATATATATTTTATCATCATAGTATTGAGCTGTAAATTGCAAAACACTTACGAAAATTTAAATTTCGCAGACTACTCTGGAGTTTTACCTAAGGTACATTTCTAAAGTTAGCGTCACACACCGCACGACATCGACTAAGTAATCGAATCGAATAATCGACATCAGATAAGTGGTGTAATACACTACCTATCCTAGTGAATAAATAAACTTTGTATTTATGGCAAGTCAGGTATACAATATAAGGGTGCATCCAAGGACATTCATCATCACACACACACGGTTTGATGGATATTATGTATATTTCTAGAAAATGTTCACTATTTAACCGACTTCCCAAAAAAGAGGACCTTATCAATTCGGCTGTATGTTTTTTTTATTCAACCGCTTGTAAAAAATATAGGTATGCATTTTGAGAAAGAACCATCTTTGTATTCAAATTGACATTTGTCTAAGAATCGGAACTTCATTTTGCTCACCTTATCTTTGTAGTTGTGGTGAAGATGTCAACAGCCTTGGACACTACGGCCTGTCGTGTAGTAAGGTTTACCGTGAGGTAGGGTGTCCAAAAGACTGGCAGCATTGCCACGTTGAATGCTTAACCTTTGTCCAAGGTAGTAGCCAGCCCTTCGATCACCTGAAGTGTCAACCATCCTCCTTACAATATCTTTGTAAAGAAGATGTGCACTTGGCCCCACGGCCCTAAAGTTTCAACCCCAAACGGTTCGAAAGCATAATTGCCAATCAGGCTATTATACTTTCGCCGTTTGAGGTTCCCGGCAGCAGCAGCGGCAGCACCGGCTCGATACACTGAGCTTGAAAGATGGGATGGCGCCAGAGTATCAACGCAAGTGGCGTCCCATACTAAAGCCCTACCCATCTTCCAAGGGTATAATGATACCATACCGTCGGGTCTCTTGCCATCGTCGCGAACCAAGCCATTAATTTCTAAAGTAGCTGGCACGCCAACGCAGGCAAGAGCTCGACGAATTATGTTATTAATACTTGGGTGTCGAGCAAAATGGCCCGCACTACGGCTACATGAGAAGCCGTGGTGTCCAAGGCTGTTCAGACATCTTCACCACAACGACAACGATGAGGTGAACAAAATGAAGCTCCAAACCTTAAACAAATTGCAGCGCGGAACGTGGTGTCGTCCAACAAAGTACCTAGATTAGACGAAGGTAAAGCAAGAAGCCATAACCCAGACTCCCACTCACCCACAGTCAAAAGGCGAGCTCTCTTTGCAGTTGAACAAGAGGAGTTTAAGAGATTTTCGCTCCCTTTTCTGCAGAACGGCTCATCCCATTGTCTCTGGGAGAGTGATTTGATGGAGGGTCAATATTTGGGCAAGCGATTTTCCAAGCATTCACAGCCTCCATTAAACTTGGTACATCAAAATTAACCAGTGATTGAGAAAAACCAGGCGGAAGATATAAAAGCCGGTATGGGCTTACACTGGAAATTTTACGGACGCCAAACCCACCCATGCGGACAGGCAGAGTAGCTTGTGTCCAAGCTCGGTCATCAAGAGCCACATTCAAAATTAAGGACAAAGTTCGCCTAATGATTTGGTCAAATTTTTCCTAAATAGGGGTGCAGACCAGAGGTCGGTCGAGATAGTCTTTACTAATATTATACATTGGAAAGTGCGTTTGTTTGTTTGTTTGTTCCGCTTTCACGCCGTAACTACTAAACCGATTGCTTTAAATTTTTGCAGACGTAAAGTTAGAAGTTTGGATTAAATAATATGGGACTTTTTATCCCAGAAAATTGATATTAACTACTGGGGGAAAACCAAAGTATTGGTATAGATAGCGCTGTATGTATTAGTATATGTCACATAGGCTTCTTTTTATCCTTTTGTGACGCGAGCGAAGCCGCGGCTAAAAGCTTACTAGCTTTTTCTAGCGTACATAAATTTGGGACAACAAAATCGAATAATAGTTTAAAACGAATGCATTCTAATGTGATATGGTTTTTCTGAAACGACAGAATAATTTTGAATTTTTTCTTCTTTAAAACTTGGAAAAGAGTCGAACACGCGCGCCTAGGAGGCGAAGTGAACATTTATCAACAACCGAGATATTACGCGCAAAAGTAATAAATTTTGATATGATCTGTCTGTCGGTAGAGTCATCTAAAAATATCTCACACTTGGAATAATTTAGGTCAAGGCCAATATTATGAAGTTCGTTTTTTAAAAATATGAAATCATTTAATACTGTATCCGCATCGCCTCCCAGGGTACCGTCTCGAGGTAAAAATTAAAAAAAAAACTTAAAATGTCACATAAATTGACTTTTGACATAACTTAGCTTTGACAGCATAGATACGTGCATTGACATTTCTTCATTGTTGAAATGTTCATTACTTCATTCATTAGTTATTTAGATTGGACCGAGAAGTACAATCATCATTGTTCTGTTTTTTCATTACATTAATGAAGTGATTCTGTAAGGATTTAATTTAAAATATTCGTGAAATGTGTTACATTTATTAATTTCAGCATAAAACTGTATTTTTGCCTTCAATACTATTGGTATTCAGGTTGGCAAAGCATTAATTAGGTAAAGGAAAAAAAAATTTTTAAACCATTTGGATTGTTTCAGTTCCCTATTGTCATTGGCAACCAAAGTATGGCTTTGCCGTTACCCATACCTCCGTGTGCTAAAAGGGATGGTCTTAGTGGCTTAAGTTGTGAACATTTCGATTATGCTAGTACTATGGCTACAACTTTGCTGGCGCCAGTTAAGACTGAAAGACAAATTCTTGAGCATTCTATGTCTGAAGATGACCCTAATGCTAATACGCAGTTACCAAGTTTGGTAGATAGACAGCCTCGATGGGGTCCCCGGCACCGTGGAGCTCAGGAACTAGCTGAACTTTATAGTCCAGGTCAGTCACACAATTTGTTTTTTCATACTTTATTGAACTTATATTATTTTTATTTTATTTCATTTATATAAAGGTGACTTAACACTTACATGTCTAATTAACAACAATGTTTTTAACTGTTCCAATGTGAAAAAAAAACCTATTATAATAAAATATATTTGTAATGGGTTAGTTTTCAATAGTAAGGAATGTGATTCAGTCTAAAATTATTGGTTTATTCTAAAAAAAAAGATAGTAGTGATATTAGTGTCAACTTTAAGGAAGGATTTTATAACAAATATTGTGTATGATGTTTAGAAATCTATGAAATGTGATCCCATATTATGGCAATTGGTTTTAAATTAATTTTGAAATGAAGAACTTGTAGCCAACCATGATATTATAGGAGATATGAAACCTTACAGATTCAGTTACCTCTGTGGTGTCCTGAGAATGAGCAAAAGTGGTTAAGTTAGATAAATATTATTTAAATTGAATTGCCCGTTGCACTTTTTCTAGAGTGCTAGAGGCTTTAATTATTATTAGTTAATTTAAAACAACACAAACTCAGCATATGAATACACAAGGAGTTATGTAGTCATATGCTGTAATAGTAAAAATTAAAAAAAAATTGCGTAACTAACAATGAACAATAACAATATTTTTAAGGACTAACAGGATCGGCCTTCTCTTAAGCAGAGATGTCCTACATTCTCGTTCTACAGTTGGTGGTACTGTGGGTTGGGTCGGTGTTTACAAAAAAAATCATTTTCACAATTCAAAATGAATATTTAGTTACGGGTTTATAAAGAATAGAGCATCTCTGTATCGACATCCAAATGGCACCGGAGAGAGAACTCGATAGTACGAGTTTGTTTTACGTTTAAAGTAATCAAAACGAATACTCGTTCGGCGCCGGCGCTCTGATTGGGCGGCTCCAATGAACCAACCAGGGCCGGATTTAGGGGTCCAGAGGCCTCGTGGCAACAAAGGAGTGGAGGCCCCCTTGCCCCAAATTATTTTCCAGATTGAGATCGAGGACGCTCGCTTGATTTCGAGGACGCTCGAAAACGTTCGAGGACGCTCGATTGATTTCGAGGACGCTCGATAGATTTCGAGGACGCTCGAAAACGATTGAGGACTCTCGATAGATTTCGAGGACGCTCGGAAACAATCGAGGACGCTCGAAAACGATCGAGGACTCGATAGATTTCGAGGACGCTCGAAAACAATCGAGGACGCTCGATTGATTTCGAGGGCGCTCGATAGATTTCGAGGACGCTCGAAAACGATCGAGGACGCTTGATTGATTTCGAGGACGCTCGATAGATTTCGAGGACGCTCGAAAACGATCGAGGACTCTCGATAGATTTCGAGGACGCTCGAAAACGATTGAGGACTCTCGATAGATTTCGAGGACGCTCGAAAACAATCGAGGATGCTCGAAAACGATCGAGGACGCTCGAAAACAATCGAGGACGCTCGATTGATTTCGAGGACGCTCGAAAACAATCGAGAACTCTCGATAGATTTCGAGGACGCTCGATAGATTTCGAGGACGCTCGAAAACAATCGAGGACGCTCGAAAACGATCGAGGACTCTCGATAGATTTCGAGGACGCTCGAAAGCAATCGAGGTTGCTCGAAAACGATCGAGAACGCCCTATAGATTTCGAGGACGCTCGAAAACAATCGAGGACGCTCGATTGATTTCGAGGGCGCTCGATAGATTTCGAGGACGCTCGATAGATTTCGAGGACGCTCGAAAACGATCGAGAACTCTCGATAGATTTCGAGGACGCTCGATTGATTTCGAGGACGCTCGAAAACGATCGAGGACTCTCGATAGATTTCGAGGACGCTCGAAAACAATCGAGGACGCTCGAAAACGATCGAGGACTCTCGATAGATTTCGAGGACGCTCGAAAACAATCGAGGATGCTCGAAAACGATCGAGGACGCCCTATAGATTTCGAGGACGCTCGAAAACAATCGAGGACGCTCGAAAACAATCGAGGACGCTCGAAAACGATCGAGGACTCTCGATAGATTTCGAGGACGCTCGAAAACAATCGAGGACGCTCGATTGATTTCGAGGGCGCTCGATAGATTTCGAGGACGCCCGATAGATTTCGAGGACGCTCGAAAACGATCGAGGATGCTCGATAGATTTCGAGGACGCTCGAAAACGATCGAGGATGCTCGATAGATTTCGAGGACGCTTGACAGATTTCGAGTTTAATAATAAAAATAATAATAATAAAATCATTTAATGTCAGACAAAGTCCATACAGCCAGAATAATAATAATTGATGAAGAAAATAACTAACAACCAAGCAATAAAATTTAAATTAAGGAATACAACAAAATATAAAAGTCACACTATCAATAAAACATAAAACTCAACAATGTCAAAAGTAACAATATAATCAAAACCATTGGAGAATCAGACACGATACCCGCTATGCGTGATTGGACCGTACAGAGATCGAGAGATTACCGACGTCTACAGCCCCAACACGATATCCATCCATCTCCGCTGGATTGGGCAATCCGCCCGTGAAGCAATCATCTTCAGGATGCCGTTGCTACTGCCCCTCACACGCATGAAAATAGAAGCGACTTTCTTCCGCATAATTGCATGAAAGCCATCAGTGCGCGCCTCTGCAAACATAGCAGAAGCACTGCAGTACCGAGGCAGCCGCAACAGCATCCTAAACACATTGTTGTACTGGACTCTAATGACATCCGCGGCCCGCCGAGTATGACTCAACCATAAGCTACTTGCGTAAAAAGATTGGCAGTATGCCTTAAACGAAGTATTTTTACTTCCACCGAGCAACGCGCAAATCTCCGAACGATCATATTACCCGCACCGCCAATGCCCTTCGTTCTCTTTCCAAATCAGCATCATCCGTCAAATCTTCAGTGAGAATATGTCCTAGGTACCTGAAGCTAGCCACCATCCCTAGAGCCACCCCGTTCAACATAATTGGCGGAACATGAAATGGAGCGTTTTTTTTACTTTTAAATATCATGATTTCGCTCTTTTTTGCATTATATTTCAGTCCATGCTCCACTGCATATGTCCCGCAGATAGCCACCAACTTCCTGATCGCCCACCGACGGCCCCAGCAACACCATATCGTCCGCGTAACTTAAATTACTGACACAAACGTCATCAATATGACACCCTGTATGTGTATCACTGAGTTCGCCGATCAAGTCGTTTATGTACAGGTTAAACAGCAGAGGAGAGGTGAGTCCTCCCTGTCTCACACCACACTCCATGCCATAAGCTTCCGACAAGACTTCTCCCCACCTCACCTGATTTTTCTGACAACCATACCAGCCCTTCAGCAACGCTGTAACTTCCACCGGTACACCCGCACTCGCCAGTTTGCCCCACAATTTGTCATATCTAACACAGTCAAAAGCTTTTGACAAATCCAGGAAGCACGCGTATACCGGCGTCCCCCTGTCCGTATAGTACCTGACAGTCTGCTTAAGACACACAATGGCACTCTCAGTAGAAAGGCCAGCTCTAAAACCGAACTGGGCATCATGCAACTTTATGTGTTTCACAAGAATATTATTAAGCAGGTTTAAGAATTGAAGAATACCAATTGTTCACATACTGCAATTGATTTTTTTTATGGTTGAGACACGGAATCGAATAGCCAACCTCCGAGGTTGCGGGCAAGTACCATCCCACTGAACCATTGAGCCATTGGGGTACAAGATGGGTAGTAAATTGGAAGTGCTTATCAGAGCCATTTGAGATTTTGATATTTCACTGATTGCCTGATTGGAGTGAACAAATATAGATCAATGATTTCTGTTTCTGTTAATATTTAAAATTAATATAATCAAATAATCATGTATGTATAAAGTACTTTAGGCTGAAGGTAAAAATAAAAGCGAAAAAAAAATATCAAAGAAAAGATGTTTACTAGGTTTACTAGTTGAAATTTGAAAGATTTTTTATCCGAAGTCTCTATTGTGGAGGCCCCGGGGCTTTCGCCCCGGTTGCCCCCCCTAAATCCGGCCCTGGAACCAACCAATCATAGCGTCGAACGCAGTATCGTTTCGATTACTTAACGTAAAATAAACTCGTACTAAGGGCTCGTATACAAAACTGGAATGCGACGTCGCATCGTAAAAATGTGCGAACGATTCGCATCGCGCATCAAAATCTTATCCTCCCAAAATCTTTGTTTCTTTTTCCTGCATCTCCGAAGCAATAACAGAAGTCCACACTTCTTTTTACGATCCATGTCACGACCTATTTTTCAATTTAAAATACGTTTAGTACGGTTGACGGTCGTCTAAGAAATTGTCACCCTGGGAGACGTCGCACGAAATCGCATCGCATAAATTCGCATCGTAATTTTTTACGTTGCAAATTTGCATCGCATCGCAGTTTTGTGTACGAGCCCTAAGGCCACAGGTGATCAGCAAAGTTACAAGCAGTGTGGTGACGGCAAAGTACCTAGAATTTGTCACCAAGCCTGCTCTTCCTGCTTTTTTTAAGAGGGGAAAATTATGCAATGACTCCTCCCGCTTAGCTTTTTACTAGGGAATATGGGATTCCTCCCTCACTAAAACCACTCCAGTGGCCACCATCATCGCCTATGGGGGGCTCCAAGACCTCTACCTCGTGTGTTCATAAGTTTTGAGACAAATTAAAAGTTGCATATCTTTTTAAATAATAAACTTACCTCGTGTTTTCATAAGTTTTGAGACAAATTAAAAGTTGCATATCATTTTAAATAATAAACTTATATTTATAAAAACAATAACAAACATTAAGTAGATAGTAAGTAAAAATTAAATATAATTATTATTCAAAATGACCACCCCTGTTTTTAATACATGCCCTTAGACGATTTGGCCAGTCATCAATGGCGGCACGAATCTTTTCCAGAGGAATTCGCTTCGCTTCTCGGACAAGAGCTCGCTTAAGTGAATCCAAGTTTGGGTGGGACTTTCGGCAGGCTCTGAGCTCTAATTCGGTCCAT